CCAGAGAATATCTTCATTTTCATTGACCTCCCATTAATCTCCTCTACAAAGATGCTTCAATCACCACCCTCACATATTTTACTGTTCCTCCTTCAATGATTACCTCCATCATGTTCTCTTTCTTCATAGTCTTCTCTATGATGATATATCTTCCCTTCCCTCTTTGTATATAGACTATCACATCCTCTCCTTTCTAGCATCAACTTTTTTTGAAAATTAACCCTTTAGCCTACTTGGCAAGTGCTTTCTTTTTTTTCTGTTCGATTCTGTCAAAAATCATTTTTTTACTTCATCTTCAGACTCTCATTTTCACACCGAAATTATTAATGTCCACCCACTTTCCGTCAAACACTCCTGATCCTAGGACTCTTCATCTCACAATATATTTTAAAGCGGTCAGGTTATACATGTACATCTCTTTTTATGGAACACCCCATTTCGACATGAATCGGTGAAACTCTTCTTCACACCTTATTGTCGTACCAATTCTAATCAAACCTCTATTCTTGTATAACATTTGAATTCACTTTTTCATTCTTGCTTTGGTGTACGGGTGCAGTTTTTGACTTGTTTAGTCCAGTAACATCAGTGGTCCTGCGTCGTGCATATCATCAAGTTCACGCAATGTGCCAAATGACCGACTCTGCGACATTTGTTTCCCTATACTGTCACCTCTCAAACCAGGATATACTGAAAATTTGTCTTATATTGCTCATTATCAATACGACATAATTGCGCCACATCAGTGATACAGAAGCAAAGGCTATCTTCATCTATGCCTCCTTATCTAATTTCACTTCTCATAATTTTTCATCAATCTAGTATAGTGCTGGTTTCCCAGTGGTCTAACCACAAAGTCCAACTCTTATACACGCATTCGCTTAGATTGATCATTAACGCATCTGTTTTTTGTAAGTTTTGCCTACAATATCAGCAACTCTGATAAATTCTACAATAACATCGACAAGTTCATATTGTATACTATTTACACTAATTCTATCCAAGACTGAATCGACATCAACACCTCTTACTCTTAATCTTGGGAACAAAAAGTACTTCCAACTGACATAATTTATGAGCAAGATCCATTCTGTTATACACGCAATCCCTTAATAATCTCCTTGTATATAACAAATGTATCCCGTTCCCATGTGTTTATCTAGACGTCCTATTTTATCAGCTTCTCTAGCCTTTCCCCTTCTTCTCTACTTCCTAATAAGCTTGCTAATATACTCTTGTATATACACAGAGTCGTGACTCAACTTCTCATGCATCTGCTGTAAATGCTTTATATTTTGAATCAACACGGCCGTGTCCTCCTTGTATTGCAAAATCTTTTCAATCTTACGGCTCTTTTCGGACATAACTCTTTTGGTCAACGAGTTTGATTTCACTTTTCCTTTTCTTTCATCATATATATATTTTTTTCTATTTTTTTTCTTCTCCTCACCATAGATTAAACTTCCTTCACTTCACAACAATAAAGTTATAGTGATGTCCTGGGGCGGCTTTAAAAAGGCAATTAACAGGGCCGGCGCTTCGGTCTCAATCAAAACGGTCGATAAGACCATGGACAAGGATTACGAGGTAGAAGAACGAAGGTACAAAACATTGAAGACAGCAGGAGATAATTTACAAAAGGCATCTAAAGGGTATTTAGATCATATCAGAGCCGTAACCAGATCTCAGGTTGTAATTGCCGAAATTGTTTCAAATCTTTACGAGGAATCGAAACAAGGCAATTCTGCATCCTCTGCAGTCTGTACATATTACTTGCAATGCGTACAAGATTTTGACGAAGAAACAGTAAAACAATTGGACGGCCCATTTAGAGAAACAGTGTTGGACCCAGTTACCAAGTTTGCTCACTACTTTGTTGAAATAGATGAAGCCATTAAAAAGAGAGCACACAAGAAAACAGATTACGAACTGTGCAAGTCAAAAGTTAGAAGACTTATTGATAAACCTGCAAAGGATGCGGCGAAATTACCAAAAGCTGAAAAGGAATTGGCATTAGCAAAGGAGATTTACGAGGATCTCAATACACAATTGAAAAATGAACTCCCTCAATTGATTGCACTTCGTGTACCATTCTACGACCCGTCTTTTGAGAGTTTAGTCAATATACAATTGAAATTTTGTACTGAGGGTTACTCGAGACTAGCCCAGATTCAACAATACTTGGATCCTGCTTCAAGAGACGAGTATGCAAATGGTATACTAGATGGCAGGATTGATGACTTGTTGGGCCAAATGCAAGGCTTAACTATTGCTTCTCCACTAAAATGATTTTTTGATTGCTTAATATATATTCTTTTTTTTTTTTTTCCCTTCCTCTTCCTATTCTTTTTTTTGCAACCACAAACCTTCATTTTGAAATGTCGATGCAAGAGAATATCGACCCAGAGGGATTGGTTGAAGATGACGGAAAGAAGGTAGAGCAGCCAGTTCCTTTAAGTAAGTTGAAATCAAACATTTATCACAATCTTCCAAATCCCATCCAATCGACTTTGAGTGTACCAGTAAGAGTTGAAGAGCCTACTTTGGAACCAATCTATGCACAGTCATTATCCAGTAATGAAGAGTTTTACGAAGCATCTCCTGTCCTCGATGAAGACGAGCTTTATTTCCCCTCCTTGTTTGAGGAAACTAATTTCCCAACAGTTTTCTTCCCAACTCAACCGCACATGTCCAAGCCGCTTCAAGATAATGCTATTCTAAACTTGCAGAAAATACCAATCATGTGTAGTCCAAGAAGCTTTCCCTTGGATAGCGATCCTGTGAAAACCAATGATGTGCAAGCGTTACATAACATATTATCTTATGAGTTTAAAAACACAGATCCCACAACTTCCTCCTGGTGGTGTAGACAAGACCCTTGGTCACAGTTCATCGAACGAGATCAAGAACAAAGTATTCAACCTGCTAACAAAAGACTCAAGGAGGAAGTCAATTTAGATCAAATTTTCATCAACATCTACCAATAGGGACTCATTGACTCGATTAATACGGCTTGTAGTCTTCCCATTTTGTAGTCACTTGCGAGTAAAGCGAGCATGCTATCCAACACCCTTTACTATATCGCGTTTCAAATCTCTTTCTATCCTCACTTAGGTCAATATCATGGCTAGCGTTTGACTCGTCTCCAACAACAATAATATTCTCACGTAAACAGCGCCGTATATCAATAGGCGACCTCTGTATTATCTTGTTGATTAGATCCTCAATAAGCGAATAACGTTCCTCTGACTTGTTCAAACAGTTGACCTTTATTTCTTCCATTCGATCCACAACCCTCAAATCAATAACAGACTGGATTTTCAAAACTTCAAATGTAAAATTCAAAACTAGTCCGCTCCTTAGTCCGCTCCCAAGTACTGCAAGTACTGAAAATGGCAAGTATATAATAGACTTTGCCCGTAACTCTCGGAATATTTCATAAATTATTCGCTTCAATTTTTCAGAAAAATCATGATCTACTATAAAGATGCGCTTGGCAGAGTACGAGTTCCGAAACAACACATTGTATATAAGCTTTTGCAATAATTTCTTTGTCAACTTCTCCTCTCGCAAATGTAACCAGGTGCCCTGTATGTTTCCACATTCATCTAATAACATCCGTAACTCAGGATCCAATTGCTTTACCAACTCCTTACGATCTTCCTCTGCCAATGCATGGTCATTCAATTCATACTGTGGAGGTAGCTGTGGTTTCAAAGTGGTATGTTCATAGTTTATCGATAGAAGATCGGGCTTGGTTGTACCCAGATATCCCAATTTCAAGTTGGTGCAAGTAATCTCCAATACTAATGACATTAATTAAATAACTCTTTTCTTATTTTTCTTTTTTTTTTCTTCTTCTTCTAAATACACTTATATATTACAACAAATCCAAATCATCATCATCGATATCCATATAATCTTCGCCATTATTTTCTGTTCCACCAACATCTTTCTGAACATCCTCTAGTACATGCATCTTGTCAAACCGTTTTTGGTAATCCTCCAATTGTGAAAGGTTCCACACAGATACTCCTTCTTGATCCTTTGGATTCGTCGGCTGTGCAAGACTTCGTAAAAACTTCTTTGCCGATGCCAACGCCATATCGGTGGACAAGTTCGTATCTGAATCATTTAAAGCCTGTGCAATCCATTTTGGAAGTTGCACCTTCTTTCGAGCAAATCTTCGATCGGCTAAAACCATAACACCATAATCATCTTTCCCACGAAGAACTCTTCCTAAACACTGTGCAGCATGTCTCATCGCATCGAATGAAAGAAAGTCATTCTCCTTAATCTGTAAATGGTCTCGCATAAACTCCAACCTCGCTTTTAATATCCTCGACTCTGTATACTGGAAGGGTATACCAATCATCAATACTGTTCTCCCGTAATGATGATCAAAATCAATCCCTTCAGACACTTTTCCTCGGGCAACAGATAACAATACTGCTCCTCTCCCATTTGAACATGCTTTCCGATACGTCTCTAATGCTAGCGAGGTCTCTTGTGCATCCGGTGTTTCAACTAGAATAAGCTTGTGCTTCCATACTTCATCCAACACACCCATGGTCTGCCACATTGAAATAATGGATTCCATGTAAAGATACGATGGGAAAAACACAACCATGCCATCAGGAGTGATTTTGGAAAACTCAATCAAAAGAGATCCATAGTTCCTCACAACGGATGGATCATTCCTAATCTCGAATCGAGACGATAATGCTAGCTGGTCACTACCCTTGGTGATAATCAATGGCAAAAACGCACGCCTCGATAACGTCATCGCATACGACTCCTGAATAACCGTTTCAAAATTCAACATTTTCGGATACATATCCAATGGCGAAATGGTACCTGAAGTGATGATAACAGATGAAAACCTATCAAAAACTGGCTTTATCGCAATAGAAGCATCCAAGCACGTAAAATGTAGAATCGGGTTGGGAACCGTACTTCCCTCAGTTTCAAAGGGCTCTAAAATCATTTGGAACCCAGTATCGTAGGTGGACACTAGTGTGGCAAATGTCGCAATATCTTTCAACGCATTAAAGTCTTCAATCTCATTCAACTCCAATGTTTTCACTAATAATGAAAGTCTCTCTGAGCAAAACCGCAACGGTTTTCGATCTATATACGTAAGCTCTTTCAAATGCTGTAGAAAACTCGTTGGGGTTTCACTGATAACATGCAATACCTTCATCCTCATCTTTAGGTATTCGATAAACCTTTTCAAAAATGCAATAAAATGCTCTCCTTTCCTAATATTGCCAGGTATAGCCTCATCGAGCAAATCTTGCGGAAGAATTGGGTTGGACATGAAAAGTTCCTCGTTACGCTCAGCCTCCGACTGACGCAACCCTTTCACCAATTGCTCATATTCATTCTGAAGCTTCTCGCTATCCTGGATTTTCATCTCGTCCACCGCCTCTGCTAGTTTGTTCGCGCCTCGTGTCGCCCTCTTTAATGCATCCTCGGTCAAGTCCAAGGACAACGACTCAATACAAACATTATCAATATTATGCGCCTCATCAAATATAATAATACTGTCCTTTGATAACTCTTTAGAAACTCTTTCGGCAATCTTGGGATCTAATAAATAATGATAGGAGTAGATGATGATGTTGCAAAATGGAATCATCCTACGCACGGTGAAATACGGACACGTGCCTATCAGCTTACAATACTTTATCAACGCATCAAATGAGTAAACTCCTTCAGGAATCAAGTTATGCTGGTCCATATCATTCAAGTTCTCGTGAAACAGACAAAGAGAGTACTTTTCGGGCTCCTTTTCTTGCATCAACGGCGTCACTACCCCTCGATCAATTTTCTCCTTCAACTGCCCATTCGTCACCCTTCGACACATTTCGTCTACAACGTTCCCCTTCTTTTCCCTAGATATCAAGGGGTTCAAACATAGATTCTTTCTACTAGTCAATCCTAACCCTCGAAAATCCTCCACATATCCAAGCTCACTCGCCCTATACTCCATCAACTTGTGCAACTCAATTAAAGCCTTTTCAATCTCTGACATCGTACGTGAACAGTATACAATCTTCCTATGCTCGGGATAGTGCATTTGGTACGCGACTGTCAATGATAGCAAAGATACAGTCTTACCTGTCCCCGAGGGCATTTCCAAGATACAGTTGCCACCAACATCGAGTGTCTTTTTGATATCACTCATATAAGCATATTGCTCGGGGTATATCTTGGGGTACGGAAATAGCACAGGTAAGTCATCAATGTAAAATTTCATAGAAGTAAAGAAAAAGAAAAAGAGATGGGGGCCTTTCCTTTCTTCTAATTTTCTAAAATAAATAAATATACATATATGGTAGCAATTTTTTTCTAAGTAAGCAATAATTTTTCAACCTTGGGGTAAATTATATCACTAGTGATCCCAGCAACTTCGTGCCATATCCCAAGTTTCTGGTAGTATTCACGCAATGGTACAATCTCCTCGTTATACTTGTCCAATCTTTTCTTGAAAACTGCGGCATTGTCATCCTCTCTTTTCACTAAATCTTCTCCAGTGATGTCATCTTTGAAAGGTACCTTGGGTGGATTGTAATCCAAGCTATAGATCCTCCCACTAGGTAAATGTACATACCTTGACTCAATTCTGTGTAGTATGATATTCTGATCAACATTCAACTCAACTACTACATTTAAGTTGCATTGATTCTTGTCTAATATCTCCGTCAATTTCTGTGCTTGTGAAAATGTTCGAGGAAATCCGTCCAATAACCAATTGGCTTTACTACTTAGTCCATCCAAGTCTCGTAACTGTTCACTAATTAAGCTCACCATCGTGGAATCTGGAACTAAAGTCCCGGTTTTTAAACACTTTTCAGCTTCAACTCCAATCTTTGTTCCTCGCAATATATGTGACCTAAGAACATCTCCCGACGATATGGACTTCAATTGAGGAAACCTATTCAAAAGCTTTCTAGATATGGTTCCTTTACCAGAACCAGGTGCTCCTAGAAGTAGTAATCGCGTTGGTTTTAACATATATAGTTAAGGTTTATACTTAATGATAGAAAAAAAAAAAAAATATTTGGGGGTCCTTATTCTTATTTGATTATATATATATTTTATTTTTTCTTGCTAATAATTACACACTACTATCCGCTGATTCCAACTTTACTCATCCTCATCATCACTATCTATAATTCTTCTTCGCTTCCTGGTCTCTTCCTCAGCTCTATACTTAGCAGCACTTTCTTCTTTCAACTTTCTCAATCGTTCCGCACCCCTTTCAAACTCTTCCTCTTCCGCAGCTCTAGCATAATCCCGTTTGTTCTTCTCTTCCTCCTCGTCCTCATCCTCGTCCTCATATTGCTCAACTTCTTCTTCATCCGCTGCAATGAAATCGTCCTCTTCATCATACTCTTCTCGTTCTCTACCATAACCCTCATCATCATCATCATCATCATCCTCATCCTCGCCTTCTTCTTCATCTCCATATCCAAAAGCACGCCTCTTGAACCCAGACGCGGGACTTTCTCCTCTCTCCCATTTCTCCTCCTGCAACCTCCTTCTACTTTCCAACTGTTTCTTCATCTTCATCTTCTTCTTCTCGTTCTCATCCGCGATTCTTTGTTTCTTCAAAGGATCGTCTTCCGTCGTGGTACTCAAAATCTTATCCTTTGACTGGATATTTTTCATCGCCTGTATTAATTTCTTATGTATCGAATCAGTCGAAGCAGGCAAGAGATTGATATTCTGTTCCACTACAGAATCAGCTTGCAAAATCTCACTGGTCTTATACGACCTCACAAGCAAACTATCCACTACTGGTAGACTTCGCACATCAAACATTTCTGTACCTATTTTTAAACTCAAACTTCCGTCGTTCCATTGCACAAAGTGAGCATTGGACTGTTTAATGATCTCGTCATTGCCCGAATTGTGATACCTCCATCTGATTGTAGTTTCGTTAACTAATTTCTCCGCTAGCTGTTCATTATAGATCTGCTTTGACGTCAACCCCTGTTTTTTTCTTTCAACTCCTTTAAGTTCCACTTGCTCTTTAAATTTGGCAGGATCAAATGGATGCGGTTCGATGTTCAAATGTGCTGGCGTTTTCAATATTCTGGTACCCTCTGATATCAGACAAATCGCATGTCGTGGTATCGATACTGCCAAAATTTGTTTCTTCTCTTCTTCTTCTTCTTCTTCTTCTTCTTCTTCTTCTTCCGAATCGTATTGTTGTGTTGAACCATTTTCATAATTGTCCAACTTCGAATCGGATAGGTGAGCCTTTTTTTTCTCCTCTTCCTCCTCCACTACTTCCTCTTCCTCCTCCTCATCATCCCCAAACAAGTCATCAATTTCCTCCTTCTGTATACTCTCTTCGTCAGACATGTTCAATATAAAGAGCTAACTTGTCGAACTTTTTTTATGGGAAAAAAAAAAAAAATAAAAATTTAAGTAAACATCGTTAAACACGAGGCAATATAGGCAAGATTATTCAGATTCATTAGTGGCGGATGGGGAGGGAAGGGGGTCACACAAAATTATTACAAAAACTACACTCTCTATACTCTATTCTTCCTTTGGAACTGAAGTATTCAGAGGACCAGTAACAACGATAGCAACAGGATTATCATCATTTTTCAAAGAAACAGCTTCTGGTTTATGTTCAAAAGAAGACCTTAGATTTTTTAATGGGCTACCGCCATTATTTAGCCTTATTTGCTGAAAGTACAAGTCGTCAACGTCAGAGCTTAGTTCGTTCTCATCAGATATACCATACTCCATATCAGACTCGTACGGTATTGACGCCGTCATATTGTGCTGGTAGCCAACTACCATATCATCATGGTTTGCTGCCGAACTCAAACTTTTGGAATATTTTCGTGGGAACTCGGGCTGCTGCTGCTGCTGTTGTTGTTGTTGTTGCTGCTGTTGCATAGTTTGTATTTGTGCTTGTTCCTCTTCCTCTTCTAGTTCCTGTTCCTTTGTAAAACTTGGTACATTAGTTGAACTGTCCCCATTAGATTCTTGTGCATCAGCGGAAGAAGAAACTACCTGGGATGGCATTAAAGGTATTGGTCCTGGAAGAGAGCTCGTTGAAGATAGCGCTTTATCGTGTGTCGGTAATAACTTATAAGCATAGTGAATCAAAAACTCAACAATAAACTGGGATAACGCATATTCATCCGGATCAAGATCATGGTCTGGATGAGATAAAATCAGTGGTTGAAATATAGCTGCAAGATTTCTTGCGCTCATCAAGTTTTCCTTCAGGTGGTTTTGAACCATAGCTAACAAGTCCAATATATAGAATAATAACTGTTTTGAAGCAGTGGGTAGTTTGTCAAGTAATTCCTTGTATCGACTTATCCCCGAATGAACTTCACGGGCCAATTTCCTGTAATTTTTGGATTTCTTCTTTTCTTTAGAGATCATGTCTTCTCCGTTAGTCTGTGAAGTTGAAATATTGGGTTGTACTTGAGGTGCGGGTGCGGGTGCTGGTGGCGGTAGTGATGATTGTGGGTGTACTGATGCTGATGCTGATGCTGATGCTGATGCTAATGCTAATGCTGATTCTGATTCTGTTGGTGGTGATGATAGCGAGTCTTTCTCTACGCTTTCCTGGTTTACAACAACTGCATTTGACCCATTGGGATGTCCCGTATTTGCTTCTGTCAATGCCCGAGATGAGTCAGTTACGTCGCTGGCACTTCTGACACTCCTTTGTTTGATTCCCTTGGACGGGTTTTCTGCTTTATATTTCATATAGCTAATAATTCGCGGCCGCTCCTTTAAAGGCGCTCTAAATTCTTCATACATATCCAAAGGAATCAAAGGCTCCGGTAATGCATTCAAATACCGCCTCATTATTGAAGCGGCATCATGCACCGTATAACCGTCCCAGTTCAATTTCCTCCCAAACAAAGGCGGAGTATTGAATATTACTTGCAATTCTTTCAATCTTTTTGAAGAACCTCCTACTCTGAATATTCCTTCCACAGTCAATCCGTTTTTCTTTAGATAAACACCGCATTTGGCAACAACTATAGGGATCTGCCCATATTGCAAACCATCAGACTGTTCTCCAGTCAAAATAGAAATTTTGGCAGAAGCCTCATCTAATGCCTTCTGTAATGGTACACCAAAGTACTTCGAGTTTTCTTCAACTAAGGAATTGGTTTGTAGAAAAGAGTCTCTATGATTCCGAATACTTGTTTCTGAGTTGGAACGGACACGTGAAACGTTATTGGTGGACCTCAGCTTGTGGTTGAGAAGCGGTCTCAAATAGTCAACATGACTGGAAGAAGTTGTCGGCGAAGTGCCTAGATAACTTGACGTTGGGAAACTCGATTGAAGGTTCTGCTGCTGTTGTAATAAACTATTAGTGAAACTAGGAGAGTTAGGATCAATGTTTGACATGCCTTTTCCGTGCAGACTAGTTGAATTGCTACGACCAGGTATATTAAGTGGACTCCGTTGAGGCTGTGCTTGTGGTTGCTGCTGTAGAAGTTGCAGTTGCTGCAAAGGCGGTTGCAGCTGCAACTGACTACTTTGAGGATTCTGTGCATTTGACGCTGACGGTGAGCCCGAAATTACTGGTATGTGAAGTGTGTTTATCAGCTTTGATGGGGAAAACCTCGACATTGAATCGGTATCAGTTATCTCGTCTATAGACTCGTTTGATAGCAAATGTGATCGCCTCAAACTTTTTGCCCACCCAAATATTGAGGAGCTCCTATTCGGTGACGACGAGTGACTCATAACGTAAATTGGAAAAAGGCCAAAAAAGAAAAAAAGAAAACAATAAAATGTCAACCAACCAACCAAACAAACTCCACCCTTGAAGAAAAAAAAAACTGGTGTTGTGAGGAGTAATATGTGGAGGCTAACCTGGTGGGCTTACTGAATAACTTGTAAAACTCTTAAAAATTCAATGAATTGAGACCTTATATGGAATGAAACTAGGGATACAAGAAACTTAAGGGGAGCAAGTATATAGGGTCCTTTTAATATTCAAAAAATAGACGTGGTTGTGGGTAGTATAGTGTGGTTCATGAAGAAAGATACTTTCCGCTATGCTACGGTAATTTTTTTTTTTTTTTTTTTTTTTTTTCTCGCTCTCTCTCTCTCTCTCTCTCTCTCTTTTTTTTTTTTCTTTTTTTTTTTTTTCAGATTTCATTCTTTACACATAACCACCTTCACAATAAGAGCATAAAAAGTACAGAACAGACACATTGATACATGTAGCCGAAACTCAATAATGTACTAAATACGAATCCTTGTTACAGCTGGCTCCATCAATACACTTTCTCTCTCTTTCGCTCTAGAACCAAATTAGTGGCAGCTATTGGCCTAAAAACACGTCAATTGGGGCGTATTTTTCTCGCGACTGGGTGTGTACCTACATTAACGGCGGCCCCCAAGTTCCAAGTAATTACTAAATTTCTTTTTCTTTTTTTGGCAGAAACTTACTGTGATAGATAAGTGTAATTTGCAGTCAAACGTTACTAAGAACTATATACTTTCATCTTAATTGATCCACAAAAGAGAATATCTTTTCGTGTTCCAATACGGGACACACTTGAAACAAATTTGAAAGCAATGACATTATTTTTAACAGTAACTAATACTATCTAGTTTCCCGCAGGCAACAGTCTAAAATATTATTGCCCGAAAAATATTAATTTGTTACAATTATATCTACCACCAACTCTGTGTCACCAATTTAATTTTACGAATGTTTTTTTTTTTCTTTGTTAATAAAGAGAGTCATGTACTCGATTCTTTGTGTGTTTCGCATCATCAAATTCTATTTTTAGGATAAATCTTGGACCACGACCTCCCTACCACCCTATCCAAGATCCATACTGCACAGCCTAATCCTAACTTAGGCATTAGCATCCAATCTTTTCACTAGAAACTTCAAAAATGAGCTCAAGTTAAGTTGAGCATATGAAGAAAAAGGGAGGAGGAAGAAAAAGGGAGGATGAAGAAAAGGGGAGGAGGAAGAAAAGGGGAGGAGGAAGAAAAGAAGGAGGAGGAAGAAAAGAAGGAGGAGCAGCGGGAGGAGCAGCGGGAGGAGGAGGAGCAGCGGGAGCAGCAGCACCAGCAGATATAGAACAGCCCCCTAAATAATCACTTACTCTATATTAAATGTTTACTCTCGCTATCTCTTTAGGAAAACAAGCAAAGTTCCTTAAAATGATTGATACCCAATTCGTATAGAAATTTACCTTAAATAGGAAAACCACTTAACTACCAACTTTGTAAAGTCGCACAAAAATTTGCGTAATAATCCTCATACAAGAGAAAAGTGCCCAATCTTGAATCTAGATTCAGCAACAATAGTTAACAGAAGTAAAAACTTTTATACTATCCCATATATAATACATACACCCGTGTGGATGTAGTTTTTAAATATACAAAAACCGAAACAACAAAACAAAATGGTACACCGTCTGCTTTTTCGAAAAAAGGTTTACTCAGCCTGTACTAGTTACGCAGATGTAATCATATCGAAAAGATCACCCCCCTCCCTCCTCCTCCTTCCCTTCTTCCCTCCCCACAACTCTCTCAAGAAAATACAAAAAAAAAATTTGATTGGACCCATTTCTTCGCTTATTTTTCTTTTTTTCTCGATCATTTTTAAATCAAGATTGCACAACAAATTGCAATCATGGAAGCTATCATTTGTGCCGAAGCACCAAATGATTTGGCACCGGCATTTTCAGGTGCAAATGTTTGTATTGTTTCTCCCTCTACGCCTGTGCCAACAGCACTACCAGTGGCACCGTTTGTTGTAGATGAGACAACACTAGACTCAAGAGTTCTACCTTCAGCAGCAACTGTTTGTTTTGACTCTGCTAAAGAGTCTGATTTGGCCACCTGTTTAGCAGTTGAGTAAATTGTATTGAATTCAGTAATTGTAGATGTCGAGTCGAGGGTAACACCCAAGGCAGCAGCAGATTCTACAGCTTGTGATTCAATACTAACAGCACGGGCGGCGTCAACACTAGCTTGCGAAGCTTGCGCAATAGCAGACTCTGCTTGTGCAATTGCCTCGGATGAATGCTGAGCTTGAGCAGCACTTAGTTGGACTTGAGCAGCAGATTGTTGAGCAGCAGCAGCCAAAGTTTGCACTGCAACAACCGATTCTTGAGATGATATAAGTGCCTTCAATGTTGCATGAGCACCAGCGTCAACCAGACTGAGCGAGCTGATTGCACTTTTACAACTTTGAACCACTTCAGTCTTTGTAAGTTGCTGAGCACTTGCCTTGACTGACTCTAATGACAGAATTGCTGATTCGCAAGATACAATAACAGTAATTATCTTTTGCTCTTCCACAGTCAAGGTGGATTGCACTGCAGCTGCACTTGTTTGAGAAACACATGCCTCATTTTGAATGGAATTGGCTGATTGCTGTTCGCAATATTCACTTACTTGAGTGACAACAATAGTACTTGTGTAAGTTGAAACGACCCCGGCTTCATTAGTTGATACTATAGGAGTGGTAATTATGGATGTACGTGGATACGATTCAGATGCGCTTTGGACAGAACTATCTGTTGAAGAAACACCAGCGGTTGATTCGGGTTGCTCAGAAGGTTTACCGGTTTCCGATGCGTTAGTTTCACCAGAGGTAATAGCGGTTGTACTTTGCTCTGGACTGGTGGAGTCCACGTTTGCTGCAAATGCTTCAATTAAAGTACAGCCTTCTCCTCCCTCAACACTAACGTCGTAGCCAACTTCCGCAGGACAAGCATAGAAATTAACCTCATCTTGACGTTTGAACAATCTCGAATTACCTGGTGTCAATGTGAGTCTGTTTCCATTCATTCCCCATCCACCTGTTGCCAGCTCTCTAGCAGTAATAAGCAACTTTCCATTAGAATCTATCTTGATGTAACCTGCTCCAATGATATTGATCAATCCGTCCTCAATACTAAACTTAGCTTCAAACCCATCGAAAAGTTTGATTTGCGTACCATTCGATTCGAACAAAGTTTGATTATTGTTGAAAGTAAGTGATATAATGAAAATAAGTGCAGGGTCAACAACTTGTGTTGGTACTGAAACACCAGAAGATATTGGAGTAACGTTTGATTCAGTAGTTGACGCAGTCATGCTGTTTTGAGAAACTGTGCTGGAGAAAAAATCAGAACTTGTTGGAGAAACATTATCGGTAGTACCTGTTGGAGAGCTGGTACTGTCACCTGTTGTGGAAATGGCTGCGGCAGAGTCACTACTGTCATCGCTTGTGAAAACAGCTGTAGCAGCATACTCCAACAAGGAAGTGACACTGGCAGGAGGCATCCAATATGGTGCCCAGACACCTGCACTGGAACAAATGGAAGTGGCTAGAGACCTAGCACTGAGCACATCCTGACCACGACAATTCTCTGCAATACAGTTTCCTACTAATGCTTGGAACGTGGGCATGATACAGAGGCATCCGGTATCCCAATATGGACATGGAGTGACACCTGTATTCTGGAACATACATGGTTTAGCACAGTCAGGTAATTGGTCATAGATTCTGTCAGCAAAACCATTGATGGAGGCGGTCTTAGCAACGCTCGGATAGATTGTGTATGGGTTGTCTTCGGTCTCGGTAGGAGCTGTAGTAATCAAAGGGTCTGAAGACGTGGATGTTGTTTCTTCAGCGGATGTTGTTTCTTCAGCGGATGTTGTTTCTTCAGCGGATGTTGTTTCTTCAGCGGATGTTGTTTCTTCAGCGGATGTTGTTTCTTCAGCGGATGTTGTTTCTTCAGCGGATGATGTAGCTGCTGTGGATGATACTTGCTGTGTAGATGAGGCTTCCGCAGTTTGGATACTGGTGGACTCACCTGCAACAGAGCTGCTACTGTCATCACTTGTGAAAACAGCTGTAGCAGCATACTCCAACAAGGAAGTGACACTGGCAGGAGGCATCCAATATGGTGCCCAGACACCTGCACTGGAACAAATGGAAGTGGCTAGAGACCTAGCACTGAGCACATCCTGACCACGACAATTCTCTGCAATACAGTTTCCTACTAATGCTTGGAACGTGGGCATGATACAGAGGCATCCGGTATCCCAATATGGACATGGAGTGACACCTGTATTCTGGAACATACATGGTTTAGCACAGTCAGGTAATTGGTCATAGATTCTGTCAGCAAAACCATTGATGGAGGCGGTCTTAGCAACGCTCGGATAGATTGTGTATGGGTTGTCTTCGGTCTCGGTAGGAGCTGTAGTAATCAAAGGGTCTGAAGACGTGGATGTTGTTTCTTCAGCGGATGTTGTTTCTTCAGCGGATGTTGTTTCTTCAGCGGATGTTGTTTCTTCAGCGGATGATGTAGCTGCTGTGGATGATACTTGCTGTGTAGATGAGGCTTCCGCAGTTTGGATACTGGTGGACTCACCTGCAACAGAGCTGCTACTGTCATCACTTGTGAAAACAGCTGTAGCAGCATACTCCAACAAGGAAGTGACACTGGCAGGAGGCATCCAATATGGTGCCCAGACACCTGCACTGGAACAAATGGAAGTGGCTAGAGACCTAGCACTGAGCACATCCTGACCACGACAATTCTCTGCAATACAGTTTCCTACTAATGCTTGGAACGTGGGCATGATACAGAGGCATCCGGTATCCCAATATGGACATGGAGTGACACCTGTATTCTGGAACATACATGGTTTAGCACAGTCAGGTAATTGGTCATAGATTCTGTCAGCAAAACCATTGATGGAGGCGGTCTTAGCAACGCTCGGATAGATTGTGTATGGGTTGTCTTCGGTCTCGGTAGGAGCTGTAGTAACAGTGGAAGTGTCGGTATTGCTAGTTACAGAAGAAGGACCTGATACACCTGTTTCATCAGCTAGCGCGAAGGATGCGATAACGAACGAAATGATAAATGCAAGTCTCATTCTGTTACAACAAAATTTCCTTTAGTCACTAGTAAAATGGTTGAGCTCATCCTAGGCAATAATTGAAAAGATATCTTGAGGGCTATATGTAGTTGGATTTCCACCATGTGTTTTGCAACCTTTCTATTAGCTTCTAGATTTAAAAAAATATGGATAGAAAGCAAGGAAATGAATAACAGCCAATCAAGTGAGGTTAGAGCTATGGTTCACAACCGCACCTATGTCTTTCGGCAAATAGATCGAGAATATGACTTCTTCTTTTTGTGTTTATCATGAATATATCCTCGAAATCTAAATTATTGAAAAGTATTTTGATTTTGACCTGCAGACCTAACAAAAAGACGCATATGGTGGTTGAAGTTGGATTCCACTAAAACTAATTTTAAGAAATTATACTTGTATCTAGTTTACCATAATCTCTCCTTCATGAGTGCACACACACCTTTAGGCTAGGTTAACAAATATCAGATGTTTTGGCAAATCATGCTGTTAATAGCCAGTCAAAATCTTTGAACTCCAAACCATTTCGCAAAAAACGAAAAAAAATCTAGGTTCAAGGTGTCAAATGGGGTTTTATTCATGTTTAATTTGGCCCATAGATCAAGTGGTGCATCTATTACGCATATAATTGGATACGCGCGTCTCGATGTTTTACTCCCTCTCCCCTCCTTCGATGAGAAACAAAAATAAAATCGCCCGCCTCTTCAGATACTCCCCTCTTTAGATTTGTTCTTCTCCAGTAAGTATACTCTTTTCCCATAACCCCTTCCTGTTTTTTTCTTTTTTTTTTTTCCCTAGATCAACCCGTGAAAAATTGGCATTGCTGCAAACAATTTACAGTATGTGAGACTTGCAGCTGATGTACCGTTTTACAATATAGTTTGGTCCAATTAAAAACTCTTCTTCCTTGTTTGTCTTTTTATTTTTATTTTTTTAGTTAAGTCTTTTCCTTTTCTTTCAAAATCCGTGTTTGATTAAATTTTTTTTTTTTTTTTTTTTCGAAATCCCGATATCTTCTAAGTCCCTTTTGATGTAGGAAAAAAAAAAAAAAAAGAGGTCGAGTTTTACCGTTTTTGTTTTTGTGGAATAGATCAATCTGATAATCAAGTTTCACGACGCACTAAATGGTAAAATACTAGACAATTCATTAAACAATATGAAAATTGGGGTATAGACTTTTTAAAATAGGAAGTCCCCGAGAATTGCAAAATCTAGTCCCAGCCTTCTCCCTTCTTCCCTCCCCCTTCTTTCTACATCTATTCCCCTCCTTTCGACTTGAACAAGTTTAATTTGTACTCTTTCTTCAGATCAATGACAAGGTAAGTTTTCTTTGGTTTTTTGGTTTTTTGGTTTTTTTTGGCTCTTTTATTTTTTTATTTTTTTTACTTTTTTTTTCTTTCTTCCAAGCAAAAGCTCACATATGAAAATACAATCCCTAAACGTTAAATTTGTCCTAATAGAATTAAAGAGTACTAAACAAGAAAAAGAGAAAAGAAAAAAAACAAAACCCTTTCTCTTTTCTTATTCCTTAAGAGATTAAACCAACTTCGGTGTTATCGTTCTTTTCTTACTTTTTAGTCGCTACCTAGTTCCATTTTTTTTTCAAAACTCTTGGATGCACCAATAACTGGCTTGGAACCTTATTTACTTACTTAAGTCTAATAAAAAAATAAAAATATTCAATTCCACAGTTTTACCTTCTCTGGGAAGAAATATTACGTTTTAAACAACACATCACAGTGGCGGAGATGAGATAAGATGAGATGATTTTTTATACTCACAGAAATGTGTCCAGCCTCATCAGAATGTTTTTTTTTTTTGGAAATCTCGAGAGATCACATTTAAAACATTTATTCATTTAATCTCCCATTCCCCATCCCACATTACGAAACACTCCCTCCCCCTCCCCTTCCCCCGAAAAAAGACAGAGTATATGACTTTACACTTATTATTCAGTAATGTGGGTTAATGCTAATATATAGAATTCTGGGCAAAAAGCTTTTTTTTTTAAATTCTTTTTTTTTTTTTTGGCTTTGCTTTATTTGTCAAGGAACTTGTGTTTGAGGGGGGGGAGGAGAGAAGAAAAAATGGAGGTAGTATATTAAGGGGAGAAGCTTCGTAGCTCATATATTAGATACGTTTGCCCCCCTGCACCATGTTTTCCAGTGTGGCTGTTTAGTCTATACAATGAGTGAACTAACTGAAGAGTGGCAAAGAATATTTGAGAGTCAGAGAAACACAAAATACCAATGGATCAGTTGCGTTTTTAGCTTGGTCGTCTTCCTAGCCAATGGTATCTTTTTCTTCTGGATCCCCAGGTTTCTTAGACAGAAGCGGTATGTGAAAACAAACAGGTTCAAGCCATACTTTATATTGTTGAGGGTCTGGAATACTTTCAATACAACATCATCAATAACTTTCAGGAATAAAAGACACTATTTCAAACCTAGTGTATTGGTTCTACTCTTGTTTTACATCTTGTTGAACGGAAAGTTATGCTATATCGACACAGACGATATTGACTACAGACCGAGGGTCTTTATAGTTGCCAAACGATGCGCAAGAATAGGCATTGCTCAAATACCAGCAGTGTTTTTGTTGGCAACTAAAGGGGACTTTATAACTGGGGTCACAGGGTTGACATATGAGAGGTCTACTTTCTTGCACATTTGGTTTTCGTTCATGATGTTCACGACTGTTACGTTTCATGTTGTTGCGATCTGTTACTATTGGGCAAGACCAGAGTTTTCGTATTTCCACCCAAGGCAACCTTATTATGTTTATGGTATCTTAGCGTTTGTGACATTTGTATTTCTAGCTTTTGGAAATATCAGGATTATACGAAAAATTTCTTTTGACGCTTCTATGGTTCACCATCGTGCTCAGTCATTTATCATGTTGTTAATGGCTTTTCTTCATAACAACAACGCCAAGGCTATGGTTGTTCTTGGAGTCCACTTGCTTGTTTTGGACAAGGTTCTAGGAAGGATATATGGTATAATTCACAGCAAGAAATCCCCCACCAAAGGTTGGTCAGAGTTTGAATTGTTAGACGAGTACACCATGAGAGTTTCTATCCCTATTAAAATAAACAAAAGTTTCAATCCTAATTCGTGGTTCGGATTGATCAAATTCAAGTATGGTAATTGGCTACCAGGGCAACATTTATACTTTAACGTTAGGAAAGTGGATTTCTTTCAGCACCATCCTTTTTGGATCTCGAGCTTGTCGGAAGATGGGAAAATGGTAATTATTATCAAGAAAAGAAACGGATTTACAAAGAAACTATTTGATAAAATTGAAACATTAAAGGAGAAACAGATTGAGGGAACAGAAACAGAAGATGATTACATTCCAAGATATAGAAAAAAGATAAACCAATGGGTGAAGAAATATAAAACGAACAAGACGGAAAAGCTAGTAGAGGAAAATGAAGAGTTCAAAATTCCTGATTATAGAAAGATTGTTGACCCTAATATTGTTATTTTGAAAGTAGCGTTCCGAGGTCCAAGTGGCGCCAAGTTTCAACCACTAGTTACATTCGACTCTGTTGCGTTCTTTGCACAAGAGTGCGGTGCTTCCTTTATATTACCTGTTTGTTTGGATTTGTTACAAACAATCGAACGTAAGGAAGTGCTTAAAGATTATTTGGGAAGACCTGCACATCCTGTTTTGGTCATTAACTGGATGGTCAAGAGCGAAAAACAAATTTATTGGTACAAACATGTTCTTGACAGATTGTTGACTTTTGTGAAAGCAGGAAAGTTGACGTTCAATGTAAGTATAGAGGAAAAAGCGGATGAGATAAGACAAATCGACAAAGATCAAGAGATTGACCCACTCACACCACCTTGCTCCGAAAAGAAATTGGAAAAAGCCGATTTTGAGGAACTGGCGCTTCAAAAGACTAGTACTAGTGTTACTAGTGTTTCAAGTCAAATAAATTCTACAGATTATACATTATTGAATATTTCAAATAAAAGTTTAGATACAAACAAAGAACTCCAGAAACATATTGCCAGTGTTAAATACTCAGATGAGAATCATTTTAGGTCTATGGCTGTGTTGAGTTGCGGGGAAGATACTGGATTTGGTAAAGAGATTGAATACAGTTTGCAAAACTACCGATGGGCTGAAAATGCCCCAAATATATACTTTTATAACGAGTCCTATGATTCATAGACAAAAAAGAAAATACAACACCTTCAATTTCTTATTCTTATATCTTAGTATTATTGTAGTGTTCTTATATCTTAGTATTATTGTAGTGTTCTTATATCTTAGTATTATTGTAGTGTTCTTATATCTTAGTATTATTGTAGTGTTCTTATATCTTAGTATTATTGTAGTGTTCTTATATCTTAGTATTATTGTAGTGTTCTTATATCTTAGTATTATTGTAGTGTTCTTATATCTTAGTACTATTGTAGTGTTCTCATTTGATTTTTGCCTTATAAAAAAAACCATTAGTAAAATTAACTTTCTTTTTTTCTTACTCCTTTAAATCAATATTTGCCACTACTATAACTACATCAGAAAACAATGTTTAGCAAGGCGGTGTACCCAGCTTTAGAAGAGCTTAAGGAACCACTTACGTGGCAACAGCTTAATATATTGCAGAATCAGTTACAATCGGAAGAACCAAACCCCTCTCCACAAACACAGTTCAATTATGCTTGGGGTCTAATTAAATCAGATTCACACAAGAATCAGCAGCAAGGAGTAGATATTCTTTTACAACTATATAAAGCAGAAATATCCATGAAAAGAGAAGTTTTGTATTACCTAAGTTTGGGATCTTTCAAACTTGGTGATTACTCAGATGCCAAAAGGTACGTGGAGATGTTGCTAAAGATTGAACCAGGAAACGCACAGGCACAACAGTTGTTGAAGGATATCGATGACAAAGTGACGACTGACGGGTTGATTGGTATAGGAATTGCCGGTGGTGTACTCGCTGTTGGTATAGGTCTCATCGGTGCTTTAGTGAGAAGAAATAGAAAATGAGTCTGGAACTCCGACACTAGCAACACTATCGAGCAGAGCGAGATAGTGGAGCACACTGACCGTCAGGTAGAAGAAGAAGAAGAAGAAGAAGAAGAAGAGGAAGAGGAGGAGGAGGAGGGGGGAAGAAGAAGAATGCCACAACGTATTTTGAAGTTCTGTTCTCTAAACCTCTTATTCCCTATTCTCATTTCATTAATTTTTTTCTTCCTTTCATTTCCTTTTTTTTTTTTTGAAGAGCCATTCATGAATGAAAATGACGATCTAGGCACCTGTATTGCAAAAACTGTTTTGAGAACATTTAATGACTTGCGTATCAATTCTGGAAAGCCGACCATAAGGTCCAATGGGGTTAAAGAATGGACAGTGCTAGCAAGCGTGGTGGCCATAGTTGGCGAACAAATACACCCCATCACGCTAGCGACGGGAGTAAAAGTTTTACCTAACTCAGTTCGATCGTACTCTCGTGGAATGATTGTTCATGATATGCATGCTGAAATTTTGGCATTACGATTATTCAATTTTTTCATACTCGAGGAATGCACGAAGAAAGACTCCTTTTGGGTTAAGCAACTAGAAGGGAAATTCCGATTTTTAGAAACTGCACAATTGGCACTTTTTGTAACAGAACCACCCTGTGGAGATTTGTCAATGAAGAACTTGTCTGCGTTGCTCGCCTCGAATGAACCATGGCTAAACGAGACAAATTCACCAAGTATTATTCATAGAGGTAGGAACAACTTTGGGGATCTTGGTGTAGTGCGCACCAAGCCTGGGAGGTCAGATAGTTTGATTTCCTACTCCAAGTCGTGTTCTGATAAACTATGTTTGAGACAATTGACAGGTATTTGCAATGCGACAACAGCATCAATATTCGAAAAGATTTTTATCCGATATTTGGTGGTGAACAATGTTGACGACGAGGACTTTCATAGATGTTTCATTGAGAGATTTCAAAATGCAACCAATTTCCAGAAGCTTATCTTGCTCAAATATGATCATGACGAATACAAGTATCACAAGTGTAATGGGAGAGAACCGTCGCCAGTATCATTGCTTTATGTAGTTCCTAACAATCATGTTCAAGTTTTGAATAACGGTGTCAAAAGTGGCTCCAATGTTAAAAACAAGCCCCCCAAGATGGGAACCGAAAGCCTTGTATGTAACCGCAACTTCATTAAAATGTTATCGCAAATACAAAGGATTCCCCACAACAGTTATCTCGAATTCAAGCGATCAAACGTGAACCGAGAAAGACTAAAAGATGTAGGCAAAAAGACTTTACAGAATTGGTGGCCTACAGACGACGACGATTTCCCTCTCTATACGTAATATACAATGTCTTTGCATTTCCTTCCCCCCCCTCTCCCCCCCCCCTTTTTTTTTTCAATAAACCTCTTGACAATTCTTTACTCAGCTTTTTCTTCTTCATCAGTCAGATTCAGATCCCGAGGCTGATCCGTCCTGAGCCTCTTCTTGCTCTTGAAATTCCCTCAACTGCATCTCTTCACTTGGTTCCATTGAAATCGCATATTCTGCACTCTCCAACAATTCCAACAACTTCTCATTACCCTTATTTACATAATCCCTTGGCCGCAAGCCGTGCTTGTCCTTGATTCTAGGATCTGCTCCTGCATCTAGCATATTGTCAATAATGAAATATCCATGCTCAGGTTCGTCAATGGCGTATTTCACTGCAACGTGTAGTGGAGTTTCCAACTCCCGGTTTTGAGGGTCAATTTCCACTCCTTCTATGTCCAATACTATATCGATAAACTCCCAATTCCCCAAGTTACATGCCAAATGCAAAGGTGTGTTGTTAGTTATAATTTCTCTGGTATCATTAATCAAATGAGCTAGTTTCACTTGGTCGTTATTCAATTCCGATTTAATTTGTAGTAACAATTCCGTATTGTTCCTTCTCGCCGATTCTTGTATCTGTTCTTGGTACGTTGCACCCTGGACAGAAGTGTCCTTTGGAGCCTCTGACATTTTGCAGAATATGGCAAAAAAAAATAAATAAACAAAGGTCAAACTCAATTGAGTTATGGGATACTTATAAAAATAAAGGTCAAACTCAATTGAGTTATAAGCAAAAAGAAAAAAAAAAAAAAAAAAAAAAAAAAAGGTCAGATTACTTGCCGAACTTTGTTTCCGAAATAGAAAAGGTTAAAGAATCATCGAAGGGTTTGACTAAAAATAGGCGTGTGTATCTTTAAATTTCAAAAGGGCAAAGAAACAAGAGAGGCAAGACGAGAAGAAAAAAGAATACGACTAATAGGATTAATCACTTTTGAGAATGTACCAATTTTTTCCAACAGGGGGGGGGGGGAGAGGGAGGGCCCTCGAGGGAGAATAATACAAAAAAGCTTAATCTGCTAGCTGCAGTCGTATCAGTAGAAAAAAAAAAAGAAAAAAAAAGTACTAGAATTATTCATGGTAATGGTGTAAGGCCATTTTACGCTAACATCGTTGTAGTTGTCGTCCCGCAAACCAATTTTTTTTTTCTTTCACTTCCTTTAGCGCGCGCTTGCTCAGGGAAGATTGAAATGTCACCTTGATGATCTAATAATTTTGATTTTTATCTTTTTTTTCTTTGTAATATATATAGATATATTTCATTTCGATTCATTGGTATTATATTACACTACTCTGATATTGCAATGGTTAAACCTATTATATCACCTTCTATTCTTGCGTCGGATTTTGCCAATTTAGGATGTAATTGTAAAAGGGTAGTGGATACCGGGGATGTCGATTGGTTACATTTGGACGTTATGGATGGTCACTTTGTTCCCAATATTTCATTTGGAGCTCCAATTATAGAGAGCTTGAGAAAACAGTTTCCCCGAGATGGTAGTAAACCTATAGTCTTTGATTGTCACATGATGGTGTCGAATCCAGAAGAATGGATCGAAGATGTCGCTAGAGCCGGGGGCGACTCGTACACATTCCACTATGAAGCTACTAAGGATCCCGCTTCAGTTATATCGAAAATTAAGAAGCACGGATTAAAAGCTGCTATGGGTATTAAGCCAAATACTCCGATTGATGTAGTTTACCCATATGCCGATGACTTAGACATGGTTTTAGTTATGACTGTAGAGCCTGGTTTCGGCGGGCAAAAGTTTATGGAAAACATGATGCCCAAGGTTGAGGCTTTGAGAGCAAAATACCCACATTTAGACATTGAAGTCGATGGCGGTTTGGGCAAGGATACAGTGAAACCGGCAGCATTTGCAGGGGCAAATGTGATTGTTGCGGGAACGTCTGTATTCAAAGCAGAAAATCCAAAAGACGTTACGCAATTTTTGAAGAAAACTGTTGAAGAAAGTATATTGGCTAGATCTCAATAGAGATGAAAGAAGAAAACAAATAAGAAAACAAGCACCATTTGACGAACATCTCTTGACTGGCACATCCTGACAAACACCTCCTGACAAACACCTCCTCTTGACTGGCACCTCCTCTTGACTGGCACCTCCTCTTGACTGGCACCTCCTCTTGACTGGCACCTCCTCTTGACTGGCACCTCCTCTTGACTGGCACCTCCTCTTGACTGGCACCTCTTTTTCACTTACAATGACTGAGTTCCCAACGTTGTACCTTCAGACCATGCTACAACAAAAGGCCCATTTTTTTCAAAACTCTCCACCAATTCCCACAAGGCCTTTTTCGCTTTATCCAAGTTTGTTTGTTTGGTCAGATCAGTATTGGTATCCATTGTTATATCCTCTTCTTGCTTCTGAGTCATATATTTTTTATTTCTCGCTATTTTCTTAGCTTTCTTCTTTGACAAAGTATTTGTAGTCATTACCGATGTTACAGGTGGTGTCTCTCCCGTGTACAAGGCAATGGACTTGGAATCGGATGGCCTTGGTGCAGTTAATGCTTTTGGAGCATATCGTGAAGTTGATGATCTCGTTTGAATTACATTCCTAGCAGCTCTTTTTCTTCTTAGTGATTTTGCATGACTCTGGGCCAACATTTTGATTTTTGGCTTGTTTATAGCATTCCTTCCTGCCATTGTCTTGCTCTGGTTTTGGTTTTTAGTTGAATAAATATACAAATTGATAAGATTGATTGTAGATGAAAACCTCATCGCGAGAAAGAAAGAAAAAAAAAAAAGGGTGCAAATCGCACATGGTAGCGTATATAATTATCAGATACTAAGAAGAATCCCTTTCAAAGCAAGGAAAGAATGTAGATCATAGATTCTATTACTGCGTATGCGTGTGGAAAGTGCCTCTAAAAAATCTTTTTTTTTTGGATTTACTTGGGTTCAGTGACTGGGTATGTGTGTAGTAGGTACTTCTAATACGTCTTTCTCTGTAAATTTTTTTCCTCACCACCTTTTTTTAGCATGAAAAAAGACAAAAAAAAAACAACAGATCAGATTGGGTACGCATTCTTCTAAAGACATGGTAAGCCATTACATCAAGTTTCAATATTGTAATATAATTACCGAGGGTATGATGGAGTTTGGTTTCTAAGAGAAGCTAGAAAATAACAATGACCATAATGTGTATATGCCCAGCTTATTCAGCTTATACTGCTCATACAGTTTGTTACAGCTCATGCACTTCATATAACTCATGCAGCTTATGCAGTTCATGTATATAAATCTATCAAAAGCTAGAAAAAATTTTTAGATATAAAAACTAACACGATTTTAAACTATGTGTAAAATTATCTATTGAAAAGATGAAACCGAAAGACTTTCTAGTGACCACACACGTACAAGGGTTTTTACCACACCCATTTTTTTGTGAGTATGATGATTGAGATGTTTTCTTTCTTCACTACAGTTGATATCTTGTCTTTGTTTTTTGTTGTATGGCTGCTGCTTTTTTTTTTCTTTCAAACCTCCTTTTTTTGCTTTCAAAACCTCCAGAATTTTTAGTCTTTACTTAGTTCACTATATTCTTTTCTCTCATAAATAAGATATATATGTTTCAAGTTTCTTTGTTATATATGCAGATTTAAATTAGAAAATTATAATCAGACTATTGATTTCTATGGGGGGCGGTAGCGTCGAAGGAGTTAAAAGGAAGCGGGAGGCGGGGGACAAGGAGGGTTTAGATGAAGATGTATCGACCAGCCATTCAGTTGTATCTTTTTTTCTTTTTTTTCTTTTTTTTTTGCAATAAACCAATATCGCAACCTAGTGATATGTTCCAGGATATTTGAATTATCTATCCCTTAAATTGGAGAATAGAGCGAATTCTCACAGTTCTATATATATATATATATATATATATATATGTCTATAGCTTCGACATGTAGGAAACTTATTTCTTGACAATTCAGTATCGTGTCATGACTGTAAAAAGGAGGTCAATATTGTACAATTTCACAAATAAATACCTGAGAAAGTCAACTCATGTATCTTCTAGCTCGCAACTACCATCTAAGCCAATTCCCACACGGGATGTAGCATTTTCATTTCCTCCTGAAGAGAAGGAACACCTTTTGGACAAACTGCAAACATCAAATGATAACGATGATGATGATGATGGTGATGATGGTGTCGCAGCATTATCATGTGCTCTTGAATCAAAACCGAAAGCATTAGATGCCAGAGTTCAGACAGCAGCCGAACTCAAAAGGTTCAACGAGGAAAAATGTTGCTTCTGTAATGACTCTTTGAACTTGGTGCTTCCAGGAGAAACTATTGTGCCATTGGTTTGTGGACACGTCTGTCATAAGAATTGTCTTGTTTTGATGTTAAGTAGGACAGAAGCTAACGAGTTGCCCCTATGTGGGATATGTCATGTTCCCTCGAGATGCGAAGACGATGAAGTGCACCAGTCGATTATGTGTAGCGACTTGGACCACGATTTAAAATTAGATTTGCAGGAACCTTCTTTTTCTTCTTTTTCATCATCAATTGTTACGCCCACTGGCTCGTTTGCTGAAGAAGAGCCTACTGGCGATTCTGAATACGAAGATTTTGAGGATCAATTATTCACACCAAGAAAGCAAACTAGACTGAGTTATGCGTTGGAAACACCACCACTGTCAGTAAGACTAGCAGATCATGAAAACTTATTATATACACCTAAGATTTCGTTTCTGACGGAAACAGCAGAGGTCAAGTTGGGTGAGAATAACGAGATAAGTTATGTGCTTAATGTAAAGGCTCCACGTATCTACGACGAGGTAGCAGCACCATTCAACATGTACGAATTCCAGCTCAAAATGAAAGTATCCAATTACCTAAAAACACAACTTCACTTTAATGATTATTTGGGCAACTTGATAATATTCGACGAAATGAAAATCAGCGTAGACGGTGGGCATTGGGACAACTCCCGCTTATACTTGTTTGAAAACCACTTGCTATTTTACAACGATGACGTTTTGGCAGGCATTATTTCTATTGAAAACGATTTGTGCTCCATGACTTTTAGCAATGGGATTTTGAATTTAAATTTGGCAGAGATTAGCTTGCCAGAACTCAATATAATGCATCAAGTGTCTGATATTATTACCCGAAAATGGTTTTATATGTTAACTCAATTGAAAGAAAAGCTAGGTGTTCCCAATACGAATTTGTTCCAATTCACCAGTACTTGCTGGATATATCTACAGCACTATTTTGATATCTCGAGTGATTTAGTAAGGTTCAACAACTTGATAAATCTTGGAGGTGAACAACAATTGCCCAGTAACTATATTACGAAAGTGGTACCATCTCCTCAACTGTTGCCATTGAACATAGTATTAGTTGTTCCGTTGTATAATAAATCACCCATGATGATATCTGATACAGACTACAAATTGTGGATCCAGCAGTTTATGAGAAACATCTTGTCATTTTTGCGACCCACAGACAGTTTGGCGTTGATTTTATTAGGGATAGATGGGAATCATTATGAAAGTGCAGATGGTGTCTACATTGGGTGTGTGAATGCACAATGGGATGGTTGGCAGGAAATCATTGATAGCATCTCCATTGTACCGAATCAATTTGAGCACAACAAAGATGAATTCAGGACAGCTTTCGCTAAATTCAAGTCGTTGTTACCATTTATCCCAAGTAAACTGAGCTCAATCAATAAATTGCTCATTCTAAACTCATGCAATGAGGATGATGATGATGATAAAGAAGAAGAAGAAGAAGAAGAAGAAGAAGAAATAACCAACCACGAGCTTGAAATTGACAACGCGCTCTTTGACGACGTTTCTGTAAGCATTCTAAAAATAGGAAAACATTCAACAGCTCTCAATTCCATTTTAGAGTCTTTTCCTATTGAGTATGGCGCAGAATTATTAATACGCTTTGATTCATTTGAGGAGCTACTGGCATCTATCGGCATGCTTTTAGAAGAACACTTTCAGAAAATATGTATTCCCAAGTTGAAAATCACCGTCAATGCAGAAGAAGATGTAAGTATATCAGCTATTGAGAAAAATGGGAAATTGGTTAGCATTGAACAATCGACTTCTGTCATCCACATTGCCAACATCATCCCCCGTAGTGAACGAAACATTATTATAAAGGTGAAACTTTGTAGTAATTTCCAATGTTGTGATATGGAACTGGTTCCGGTTTTCACCTACACTGCATCGTGGCTCAACAAGGTTAGCAATGAGAAAACTGTAAATAAAAAGATTAGCATCGTACCAGAAACAAATAATGCCATAGACGAAGAAGAAAAATTGCCACAAAATCCACAATGCCAAGATTTGTACTACATGGACATCCCATTGTTTCCTCCACTTTCACCATCAAGACAGCTCTCCTTCACAAAACGACAGGTGGAACTCTTGATAATTGAGCATCTAAGAAAAGCTATTGAAACAGGGGAAAGTTTGAGCCTTGAAAAGTGTTCATCTTTGGCCTACGGTTTAGTTCGAAATGTTTCTCCTGGGTTCAAGGACAACAGGAATGATTTTGAAGAGGAGGAAGGTGTAGCAGCAGGAGTTGGCTCCAACAATAATGAGGCAAACACCATGTTCAAATTGTTGGTAGCTATACGCAAGGAACACAACGATAATGAAAAATACATTACATATTTGGTAAAACAATTGCAAGAGATAATAAGCTTGTTTAGCTCGAACCAGAAGGATGCGATTTCAAAATGTCATGACATCTTATGTGGATTAGTATAGCTTAATCAAGGAGGAAAAACGTATCCTCACAAAAAAAACAACAACAGGCTTCTAGCATGCAGGGGGGTATTTAGCAGTAATTGAAGCCATTGGAAGTCATGCTTTCCGCTTATTCCAACAAAAATAAGGGCTTTGTATTGAAAATATTTAAAAAAAAAATAGTCACTTTTTTTCTTTATATTTAGTAGCTGGTATGTTTTTAACCATTATCTCGTCAAAACTAATGTCGTACATGTTCTGAGTGCGAGTCAATGTTCTATACCATCCTCGTCTTTTTTTCTCACAGTAGTTAATTTTTTTTTTTTTTCTTTTTGCACCCAAAAAGAAAGAAAAAAAAATTGTCGTAGGGCTATGAGTTGTTGCAGCACCAAGAAATGGCTGGCTAGGATCATTATTGTCACTCAAAAAGGAAAAAGTTGATCCGTACGTAAATTGGTGTAATTAAACTTGTGTGTATATAAAAACATCGAGATATCAACTTCATTTCTATCATTCTTTATTTTTTTTTTACTGAATATCGAATATCCACAATTTTCATTTGAATGTCACTTCAAATTAACATTATTCTTGTAGGTTTTTTCCTTACCTTTTTCGTTCAAAGTGCCAACCTAGGAGGCTTGGATGGAAGCGCAAGGGATAATGCCGATAGTGATGAGGCTGACAAGCTTACAAGTGGTGGTGACAACAGTTCCACTGCTCAGCTTGTGCAGTTCTCGACTGATGGAGCATCCGCTATACAAGATCAGGTCTCTTTGACGACAGCACCAACTCTCCTGGAGACGCTGTCTACTTCTGTACCCACGATTCTCAGCTCTACTGGGATTACTACAGAGAGTCTGCAGCAAATAACCAATACAGAGATTAAAAATTTGCAACTGGTTTCATTTAATCAATGGGGGTTCACTGGTTCTCAATCAGTATGGCAAGCACCAGAAACTGTTACAACAATTACTTCACAAGGATCTATAACCACCACCAACGCAGGCACCCACTCAAGTCTGCTTTCAACTGTATCTCTGCTGCAATCGCTGAATAGTACCTCGAATGGAAGAAAATTGACTGTTTTCGCCGAAAAGAAAAACCTGTCATGGAAAAATATTGTCCTTGTGTTTGTCTTGGGTATCGGTTTAATAAACTTGATATAGCTAAATAAAGAGATTGAGATTGATATAGCTCTATAGATATTTATATATACAAAGAGATTGATATCCACACAAATATATTCAAACACCATGAGTCTATAACTCTCCACATCTACTAGATTAACTGGCATAAAAGCCTATTCTCTTTTGTAGATACATTTTCTAACAAGATGGTAAACTTCCACGGCGCAAATCTTTATTATTTGTCCTTTTTGTTTTTCTTTCTTTTTTCTTTTTTTCTATTGTAGTTTATAGCATGAGGGTTGATAACTTTTATAGAAAAGGGAATTGTTTAATTAAAGGAGGAGGGGGGCATTGCTCATAGCACTAACTATCAGCTTCCCCCACTATTACTAGAGAAAAAAATGTTGGCATGCTCCTTATACTCATTGGTTTTGCTTGCTGCGTGTTGCGTATTTGCTATACCACCGAAAGAAGGCAGTGATAATGATGCTGAAAAACAATATATGGTAACAAATCTTCCTGGATTACATGAGAATATCGACGATGATTTCAAGCCAATAATGTTTTCGGGCCAGTTAGAACTATTCCCTGAAAACAACACAAACTACTTCTTTTGGAAGTTTTCCGATCCAAATATGCCAAAAGATTCAATATACAGCAACAGAACAATATTCTGGTTAAATGGTGGTCCTGGGTGCTCGTCCATGGACGGCGCACTATTAGAAACGGGGCCATTCAGGATTGACAAGAGTCAGAAAGTTATCATGAATAACGGTTCATGGCACAAGGTTGGTGATATCATCTACGTGGACCAGCCAGTGGGAACCGGGTTCAGCTATGGAGAACAAGACAAACTACTACATGATTTAGACGAAATGGCATTTTATTTCTTGAAATTTATGCAAGAATATTACAAATTGTACCCACAAGATGTGGGAAATGACATCTATTTTGCCGGCGAGTCGTATGCTGGACAATATATTCCATACATTGCAGATGCCATAATTAAAAGAAATGCTCGTTTATCAACAGAGGAAACTAGATACAATTTGAAGGGGCTACTCATTGGCAATGGCTGGGTATCACCCAACGAGCAAAGTTTAGCATATCTACCATTTTTCATTAACAAAAACTTGATAAACAAGGATAACCCTCAATGGATGCAGTTGTTGAAGTCACACGAAAACTGTCAAAAAATTGTGGATAAAATAGACAGTCATTTTAATGATGACACATTGAACCCACTAGAAGTAGATTCATCACAATGTGAAAGTATCTTGACTGATTTATTGAGGGTAACGATGGACAGGAACGCTGCGCACACAAAGGAGAGTTGTATAAACATGTATGATTACACCTTGAGAGATTCATACCCTTCATGCGGGATGAACTGGCCTTCTGAGTTGCCAGACGTTACATCCTTTTTACGAAATGAGGATGTCAAACACGACTTGAATTTGAAAAAGATGAAAACTTGGCACGAGTGTAGTAGCCGAGTTGGTACTAATTTCAACGCTCGAAAATCACGGCCATCTGTTCATTTACTTCCGGATCTTTTAGAGCACATTCCTATTATCTTATTCAACGGAGCCAATGACATAATTTGCAATGAAGAAGGTGTTTTACGATACATAAACAAATTGGAGTGGAATGGACACAAGGGTTTTGAAAATAGCGACGCACAAATTGATTGGATTCATGAAGATAAGAATGTGGGATACATATTACATGAAAGAAACTTGACATTCATTAATATATATAATTCGAGCCACATGGTCCCATACGATTTGCCGGATGTATCAAGAGCGTTAATGGATATAATAACAGGCAATTACGATAGAAGACAAGACGAGGGGGGAAAACCTAGCTTTATCACTTACCCGATCGGCGTAAAGATTAAAGGCGTTACTGAAGAAACGACACCGCAATTGAATTCAACAAATTCATCATCATCTAATTCTTCATCAAAGGCAGAAAAAGAAGAAGAAGAAGAACCATCGATTAATAAATTCATACGGCTTGTGCAATTAGCTGTTATTTTAATAGTCATATGGGGCGTTTATATACTATACGCTTCTTACAAAGCTAGACCCTCTCCTGTTCTGAAAAAGGCTAGTAGAAGCGGGACTCGGAAGAAAAACGTGCAATGGGCGGATCAAGTGAGCAGTATCCAAGGCGAAGAGAATTTTTCATCTCCTTCTTCTTCTTCTTCTTCACCACCACCACCACCACTTCCTCCTGCTCCTCCTTCTTCTAAAAAGGGATTTATAGCCAAAACATTGGACAAGCTAAGAAGTAAGGACTCTCGAGGCACCTACTCAAGAGCTCAAGGGGAAGATTATATTGATGATATTGAATTGGGTGATAGTATTCCTGAAGGGACCCTCGATGACTTTATTATAGATAGCGATGACGAAAGAGAGGAACACCAACTGGGAAGTGATAATGTGCATGGCAAGCATAAAGAAACGGGAAGTACATAAGTAAAGTAGGGTATAGATATAAGTATATACTTTTTTTTTTACGAGCAGAGTGAGATAGTGGAGCACACTAATACACTAGATGATAGTAGTAGTAGTAGTAACAGCACCAGTAAGTAGTTATATTAACAGTGCTACCAATGGTTTTTTCGTTTCTCAAACATTTGAAGGAACAAAAAAAAAATGGTTACACCTACGAATACACATAATAGTTTTTAATACTCTCTCGTGGACTGAGAAACTAATAGAGAACTTAAAATGATCAGATCTATACAAAGGTTAGCACCGCATGCTCCGATAGTCAAAGTTGGCAGCTCATCTAGTGAACTTCATTTTGCAGAACCACCCAAATATACGCTTGCACAATTACGAAGTTTTCCAAGGTTGGAACCAAAATCATTTATTCCTCTTCCGACAAACTTTTTCCATACAGAAATTCCAACAAGACGTGATATATTATGGAGTGCTACCGTTTTCGAGGCTGATCGTGCTCGAGTGGGTTCAAATTATGTTACAAAGAAGTCGGATGCACCATTTTCGAATAGGAAAGTACGTCCTCAAAAGGGTTCTGGTAGAGCACGTTTGGGTGATGCTAATTCGCCGCATATGTTTAATGATGTTAAAGCTCACGCGATAAAGGGACCGCACGACTGGTCTACCGAGATACCGAAAAAAGTATATGCTAGAGCTATACAAGTTGCATTAACTACCAGATACAGGGATGGACATATGTTCGTTATTGAGGATCAATGTGATTTCAAACAGGATAACCTTGAAATCACACAAAGTTTTGTATCTGCTCATAAGTTCAACAATTTGAGCATGTTGTTTATAGTTGATTCGGACAGAGATAACTTAGCTAAGAGTATGCAGACGTTTTTTCTCAGTCCAGGCAGGTTGCGGCTAATTCATCCTTTTGAAAGACGAAAGGCTAAATCCCTTGTCAAGGGTAAGGTGATAAAAAAGGAAGATGTTGAAGCTGGAGATATCCTTGTAGCCAATCGTGTATTTGTTGAAAAGTCCGCGTTGGAATGGCTTATTGCTAAATATGCAATATGATATATGATATATATAACTTCAAGCACAATTTGTATATAACTTCAAGCTACAATTTGTATATAACTTCAAGCTACAATCTGTATATTACATATGACAAGAGCTACTCACTTAGTTACTCACTCCACTCCACATTGCAAATGCAATGTGAGATGCGTGTGAGAGAGAGAGAGAGAGAGAGAGAGAGAGAGTGTGTGTGTGTGTGTGTTGTTCTATCACGTGACGGGTTAGGGTATAGACCTCTCATCTTATAGTATTGGTAGGTGCACTATTAGTACATAGAAGAAAAAAACAACAACATTTAATGCGACAAAGTAAGCATCAAAATGAGATCGATATAGAGAAAGAAAAAAATGTATGTATGTATGTGTGTGTGAGAAGAGAAGGAAAAAAAAAAAACCATACTGTTATTGTACGTAGTGAAAAATTGCCTAAAATCTTTACCTTCTTTTGATATAGAGACAATTAACTAATAGTACAACAGACCCCAACATGCCATTAGTTGTCCAAGAACAAGGTTCATTCCAACACATTTTACGGTATGTGAGCTACTCATAGTTGAAGCAAGCAAGAACACGTGGTTTGGTTATTTTTTATTTGAATCGGGGGGAGGGGAGTTGGAGTGAAAATTTTTTTGAAAAAGTGTGTGAACGAAAGAGAAGCGACACTATCGAGCGAAGCGAGATAGTGGAGCAACCATTTGTGTCTAAGGACGCAATCAAACCCGTGTGCAAATGCAAACCCATTTGTTAGAGATTTAGGGGATACTGAAAGTCAGAAATTGACAAAGCGACACTATCGATACTATTGAGCAAAGCGAGATAGTGTTGTAACAAGCTACTAAGTGCTGTAACAAACTACTAAGGATTGCTCCACTATCAAGCCACGGGATAGTATATACATGCATGTGAAGGATATCAAACTCTAAACGTGAATCGAGCTTCATTCATTTACCAAATCTAGTACTAACATATTTTTTATTTTAGTTTGTTGAACACCAACATCGATGGTAGAATCAAGATTATGTACGCCTTGACCAAAATTAGAGGTGTCGGAAGAAGATACTCTAACTTGGTTTGTAAGAGTGCCGATGTTGATTTAAACAAGAGAGCAGGTGAATTATCCCAAGATGAATTGGAGAGAATTGTTAACATTATGCAAAACCCAATTAAACACAATATCCCAGCTTGGTTCTTGAACAGACAAAAGGATCAATTTGACGGTAAGGATTACCATGTCTTGGCTAACAACTTGGAATCCAAATTGAGAGATGACTTGGAAAGATTGAAGAAGATCAGATCACATAGAGGTATCAGACATTTCTGGGGATTGAAAGTTAGAGGTCAACACACTAAAACTACTTCTCGTGGTCGTTAAGAAAAGAAGGGTATATGCATATGAAGTATACTGTATAGTTCATGTATTTTAATTTGACACATAAAAAAAAAGAGTTTGAAAAAAATACATCCAAAGAAGTTGACTGATTTCTGGAATTTTGAGTGTAGAGATCTTGCCATAGTGTAGTGTAAGGGGTGTTTGTAGAACATTGGGAGAGAAAACATAATAAGGAAAACGAGAATTCTTTTCGTTAGAGCAGATGCATTAATTATTTGTATCAGATTCCTATCATCATCTCCTTATTCCATAATTAGCATCCCGTTATATTCTTGATGTAATAAGAGAATAATCCAAAGGTCCTTTGGCTTGTTGAATCCAGAAAATTTTGCAACAATTTGCAGTGAATTGTTGCGAAATTTATCCAATTACAAAATATACACTTTTATTTGCTCTAACCCAAATATCATTATTACCCATTAATAATCTTTTTATTCTGTTGAATTTCAGTAGCGATACTCCTTTCCCACCGACTAGTTGCTACAACTTGTCAGGCTTATCAGATGACAATATCGAGCAGAGCGAGATAGTGGGGCAGCACATATGGCTTGTTACAACACTGACTAGTGCTCGCTGCTCACAGTACTTGCTACTCACAGTACTTGCTGTGCTCACAGCTCACTTTGCTTTATAGTAGAGCAGAGTGGTGTAGAGTAGTTTAGAGCAGAGTGGTGTAGAGTAGTTTAGAGCAGAGTGGTGTAGAGTAGTTTAGAGCAGAGTGGTGTAGAGTAGTTTAGAGCAGAGTGGTGTAGAGTAGTTTAGAGCAGAGTGGTGTAGAGTAGTTTAGAGCAGAGTGCTGTAGAGTAGTTTAGAGCAGAGTGGTGCAGTGCTCCACTATCTCGCTCTGCTCGATAGTGCATTATATGACTAACTACAAAGCTGAAAGATCAGCAATAATAACGAGCTACTCGTACATTTTTCATTATATGCAAAACATTAGAATACTATATATATATATATATACATGACAAAGTACAGTATATTAGTACTTATTTGTAATATCTCCCAATACTCTTCTCTCGGATTCTACTCTCAATTTCTGTGTGATTTTGTTAGGCATCAATTTAAAAGTCATTGTGCTCGTAGATGAACCATTTAGAGCATGTGGCTGTTTTTTATTAGTTTCTATTAATGTGTGCATTGACTGATTAGACGTGATTGGTTTAGTTTCCAACATAAATTCGTTTGATATTACTAGTGAGGGGTATGTGTCTTGCTGAACTGGAGTTGAGATATGCTTAAATTGTAATGTTGAATGGGAAAAAGATCGTGATAATGGCGCAAGACGTTGTTGCTGTATTAGCAGTTGTGGCTGATGTGGCGTGTCATTGAATGAGATAGATTTGTTGAGTGTAGGTTTAATTGGTGTTGATGACACAAAAGAGCCTATACTTGTCCGTTGCAGCAGCAGCAGCAGCAGCAGCAGCAGCAGTTCTTGTTGCAGTTGCAGTTGCAGCTGCACAGAAACATCTGTAGGAGGCAATTCACAGACTTCCTTTTCATAATTATTCTGTTTTCTCAAAGATTGTCTCTTATTCTGAAACCAAATCTGTACTGCCTTTTCAGTCATACTGACTTTCTTAGCTATCTTGATTCTTTGTAGTTTATTTGGTGTTGATCCTAGTTCAAATTCTTGATTAAGGATACTCAACTCGTATGGAGAAGTTCTTCTTCTTTTCCTTCTAGCCAATGGGGCATTATCAATGGCAGGCTCTTGTGATGGAAACGTAGCAGGAGAATGAGATATAAATGCATACGCCTTATCGTTGTTGACGATGGACGACTTAGATGATACCAATTTTTCCGATAGCGAAGAAATGGAGGTTGTCGACGAGGAGGGAAAACAAGAAGATGTCGAAGATGTCGAAGAAGAAGAAGAAGAAAATGATGATGATGAGGAGGAGGAGTTGTTTTTGCGAAGCTCAAGTAGACTTGTGTCCATGATAGAAGAGGTATCCTCAATACTCGAAAATGATTTCTCATAACCACCAAATTCTGCCTTTTCCGTTGTTGGTGGCGGAGTAAACATGGACAGCAAGGTTGTGCTGTGGTATGGAGGAGGAGGAGGAGGAGGAGGTTGTTGTTGTTGTTGTTGTTTTTGTTTTTGTTTTTGATACAAGGGTAATGTTGGATATACGTGCAGTGTCTTTATGGTGTGAAATGGCTTAGTCGTTGAAGAAGTAATTAGTGAAGGAGCAGATATCGGTGTACTCACGGAGGAACTGATTGGAGATAACTTGGTATAGCAAGATTGTGTTTGAGTTGTTAAAGGGTGATCCCTATAGTGGTCCGAGTGAGCTGAAGATAGAATTGAAGACAACGGAGGTAAGCTAAATTTTGCTTTTGGTATTTCTGGATTGGATGCGAATAAGTGTGGATTTCCAGGAGATGGTAGTGAACATTTTTTAGGTGTCTGGAAATGAAGCATTGTTGGGGAGAAAGAAGGAAGGTGGGTGTGAAAGTTAATAGCAGTGATAGCAGTGATGGATGGTGGTAGCAATGAAGGGTATTCTATGAAAGGAATGAGGAAACAAAAGCGGCGTTATGGTATTACCAAACCGGAATTTTATGAAAGTGGATGTTATTTGGGAAAAGAAAAAGGTTGCAATCAGTGAAAGGAAAATGCAATTAGTTTTATAACTTGATCTAACTTACAGGGGGGGGGAAGTTTAAATTACCTCTCTTTTCTCCGTCCTTATTCCCTTATAATTTTCAGTCACTATTCGGTGTTCTTGCTGCTGCTGCTATATTGTTGTTGTGTTATTGTTGTGCTATTCCTTTCCACATCATTAAACAATTAAATTTATTTTAATGAAATTTCGCGTTGTTTACATTTTCGGTGTTTTAATTAACATAGAAGTAAATAAATACTATATACCTTGCATTAAAAATAGGGCCTTTTTTGATCTGGTAGTTGGATACAATTTTAAATTATTAAAGGTTTTACCCGTTTGAGTAATCTTGTGTACAGTCACAGTTTGCAGGTGCAATTTAGAACACATTTAGTTTAACTAATTACATCTCTCTTTTGGCATAAGTAAGATGCATTAAGCTTATAGGGTCTCACTATAAGAAAAAAAAAGAAAGGAGGAGGAAAAGAAGAGGAGGAGTGCGAGTGTGAGTAAACGCACACACACACTTCTTCCGTGTTGGTTTACTGTCGAATTGTCACACTTTGTATATTGACCCCTCATATACTGCTTAGCTTTTAACTTTTTGTTTCAAGTCTTTTCTGTGTTGGTTTTCATTGGTTGATTATAAGATGCTCTTTACTCTGTCTATTTCGTGTGTTTATTAATATGCAGTACAACTATTTATTTTCTTCATTTGCATTTAAGGAGATAATTGTGAATGGCGACTCCTTACTCCCTCTCCCCTCCCCCTCCCCCCAGGTAGGATCGCCATCATTCAAGACCATGTATATACACATATAACGTAGAGCGCTCTTGGGTAATGACATCAAATCCCGTGTGTGCTCTTGGGTATTGACATCAAACAGCACTATCATCCTGACAGTGTCATTTGAGGTGTGAATACCAAATTCACGCTTCTTGACAAATTTCAATTAACCAATTGAAGTTTCTTCATTTTTAGCAGAGACACGTGTAATATAAAATTTTAATACCCGTTCTACTTTTCGAGATCATATAACGAACATGAGAAGCACTTACTAGCAACTAGTTTATACACAATTAATTCGATCTACTAGAATCGCTAAAAATCGCCCGATAGACTACTTACGCGTAATTCTGTAATATATATATATATATGACTTTTACCTTAATCAAGTAAGTCATTAACCAAGTTTGGAAAAAAGTTTTCAAACAAAAAAAATATTCCAACCGGTTTTGTACAAATTTTTATAGATCTTTTGATTTCTACCATCTTTGTACTGATAGACCGAGAAAATCAAGCCTTTTTTTTTCCAACTCTCATTAGTTTCCCACTTTTGCTCTGAGACCAACTCAAATGGGCTCAGTTTTGAGTTGGTCTCAGAAAGGTTCATCACAAAAACCAAAACCAAAACTGACGATCTTTTGTGATTTACTTTCATATTTTTTTCTCCAATTGACTCGATAGATTAGTTGCAGAGAAAAAGTTGTAGAGGCTGAAATACTCTCAACTGCAAAAAAAAAGAAGACTCGTGCACATGGGGTTTGATTGCATCCAGAAATGCGACACTAGAAAATAATATAAATTATAAGATAAAGATATAGTGCAGAGCGAGATAATGGAGCAACACTTAGTAGCTGCCAACGACACTGTCGTGCAGAGCGAGATAGTGGAGCAAAACATAGTAGTTTGTTACGACGCTATCTCGGTCTCCTCCATAGTGTCATCTCGTATTTGTTTAAAATAAACTTTTATTTAATTCTAGTTTGGTTTATTATCCTCAAATTGGAAAAACTCTTGTTTGGGAACTAAGATAGCTCTATTATTTACAATGACAGCCGACACTATCGAGCAGAGCGAGATAGTGGAGCAATATTCAGTACCTTGTCACTACATACTAGTGGTACCTTGTACTTTGTCACTGCTAACTGCTCCACTAACTCGCTCTGCTCGATAGCGTCGCAGCACTTAGTACTTGCCTGAGGGGGGGCACGTGAGCACGGGTGCTGTGCTGACATTAACAAACTCGTACCATTGGCGCTACCATAATCACTACTTTATCAATTTTCTGGAATAGCTCAGATTATAATTTGCTTTTGCTTAGGAATTAAACTTTTTAAACTTTCGGGAGGTTGCAAAGCTTGGAAGTTGAGGAGTGGAAGAAGAGATGTCGATTGATAAATTGGCAATAACAACCACAACAACAGCGACGAAGGCGAGGGAGAAGACGGTGACAACAGCAGCAGCAACAACGGAAATAAGACACAGATTTACCTATTTCAAAAATATAAGTCTATCGTTATTGACTCTACCGATAATATTACTATTGATAAAAACTTATTACTATAGCAACTTTGCAACCAATTCTAGAGTTTCACCATACATTAATGTTGAAACGCTTGATCTCACAGTTTCACAACAAAATGATCTCAAGCGATTAGGTTTAACTCTAAAGAAACCTGTCCAGATAACCACTATTGAAAAAGGGAAACAAATAATACACGGAAGATTTTTGCATATTACAGATATTCACCCAGATCCGTTTTTTAAGATTGGTTCCTCTTTTGAAGATGCATGTCATTCTTCAAAAGGCACAGCGCAAAAATATGGCGATGCCATATCTGGATGTGATTCACCAATGATATTGATGAACGAAACTATAAAATGGATCGCGGAAAATTTGAAAGACAAGATAGATTTCATAGTATGGACAGGGGACAATATTCGTCATGATAACGATCGGAATTTCCCAAGAACTGAAAAAAGTATATTTGAAATGAATGATAAAGTTAGCCAATTGCTATACGAGACTTTCAAGAAAGATAATACACCTGAATTACAAGTCGATTTGATTCCAAGTTTGGGGAATAATGATGTTTTCCCCCATAACTTATTCAGTATTGGACCGACTTTGCAAACTAGAGAATTGTATCAGATATGGCAAAAATTTATTCCACAACTGCAATTGCATATATTCAATAGAGGCGCCTACTTTTTCAAGGAAGTTATACCGGGACAATTGGTGGTTCTTTCGATAAACACTTTGTACTGGTTTCAGCTGAATCCATTAGTGGACAATTGCGATGAGAGGACAGAGCCAGGCTACAAACTCTTTGAGTGGTTGGGATACGTTTTGAAAGAAATAAGGGCAAGAAAAATGAAGGTGTGGTTCTCGGGACACGTTCCGCCAAATGAAAAAAATTACGATTTAACTTGCTTGAGAAAGTATGTGGTTTGGACATATGAGTATAGGGATGTTATTATAGGGGGTTTGTTTGGGCACATGAACATTGATCATTTTATTCCACTAGATAGCGTCGCTGCCTATAAATCTATCAACAAGTCAAAGAAAAAAAAGAAGAACAACAACAAGAATAAGACAAAAGCTCAAAGCACCCCGGCTCAAGACGATTTGTTTCAAGGGGGAAGAAAAGGTTGTGAAGAAGAAGAAGAAGAAGAAGAAAACGACGATACTAAGGCATTAGGAGAAACTTCACTATTCAAATCATTAGAGTCCAAATTTGATGATGGTTTTTTCAGAATTCAAGGCGGAGTTCCCAAAAACAAAGTCAAGTATATGGAAACATTAAGAGAAGACCTTTATGCGCCAATAAAGGGTAAAAAGAAATCAGGAAGAAATGGAGAAAGATACTCAATATCTTTCGTATCAAGTTCAATAGTACCGACATTTAACCCGGGAATTAGAGTATGGGAATACAACATCACAAACCTTGCCAAAGAACTACCGACTGTGAAATTTGAGCCATGGGATAAATTCCTTTTTGAAGTAGATGCTCTAATCGAAAGACAAAGCAAGTACACCAATAAAGAACAAGAGAGTTACCTTTGGGCCTTTGGAAGGAGTGACAAGACATTTCCTTTGCCGATGCCTAAAGATGCTCCTCTAGGACCGGCTTATGTCCCACAGACATACACTCCTGAGAGGTATGTCAACTATTATGCAGACTTGACGGCCATAAATAAAGGCACAAAGGAATTTGGTTATGAAATAGAGTATACTACAGACGATCAAAATTATAACATGCCCGTACTTACTACAGAAGAATGGCTAAAATTAGCTAGATCATTGGGTCGGCCATTGAAAAAGGTTAAGGGTGAGAATGAGAAGGAAAATGGAAAGAAAAAGAAAAAGAAAAAGAAAAACCCCAATCATCGTGACGATGAGTTAAAAAATTTGGAAAAGTTGTGGACAATCTTTTTAAAAGATGCGTTTGTTAGTTCCGATTACGAACATACAGGTCTTGGTTAAGATCTTGTAGAGTAACAGTGTCATTAAAATTTATATTAATATAGAAAGTGACTTTAACACTGATAAATTGACCACCCCCCCTCTCCCCTTTCATATTTCCTCTTGCTTTCGTCTTTTTTGCAGCCACTAATTACAATACAATGCTACCATATGAACATCCCAAAGGAAGAAAAAAACAGCCGTCACCTTTAAGCACGTGACATAATATAGGACAATTTTTTTTTTCAAATTTTTCACAGATTGTATATGGGCCCCCATCACCACCACCATCAAAAATAAGGGGAAAAAAAAACGATCTATTTGGAGACTTTCCCGCTTCTTCTTCTACGTCGTTGACATACCATTAAATTCCTATCGTCAAAAGTTAACAAGTCGAAATGGGTGGTACTAGAGAAAAAAAAGCTCAATACTTCTCTAAATTGAGAGAGTTGTTAGAAGAATACAAATCAATCTTTATTGTTGGTGTTGATAATGTTTCTTCACAACAAATGCATGAAATCAGAAAGGCCTTGAGAAATGATGCTGTTGTTTTGATGGGTAAAAACACCATGGTTAGAAGAGCCATTAGAGGTTTCCTTGCTGAGTTGCCAGATTATGAAAAATTGTTACCATTTGTTAGAGGTAATGTTGGTTTCATTTTCACCAACTCTGATTTGAAGACTATCAGAGACACCATTACTTCCAATGTTGTTGCTGCACCAGCTAGAGCTGGTGCCGTTGCTCCAGCAGATGTTTGGATTCCAGCAGGTAACACAGGTATGGAGCCAGGTAAGACTTCTTTCTTCCAAGCTTTAGGTGTTCCAACCAAGATTGCCAGAGGTACTATTGAAATTGTTTCAGATGTCAAAGTTGTCGAAAAGGACGGTAAAGTTGGTCCTTCCGAAGCTACTTTGTTGAACATGTTGAACATTTCTCCATTCACCTACGGTATGACTGTTGTTCAAGTTTACGATAATGGTCAAGTCTTCCCAGCATCTATTTTGGATATTACTGATGATGAATTGATCAGCCACTTTGTCAGTGCTATCAACACCATTGCTTCTATTTCATTGGCTGTTGGTTACCCAACCTTGCCATCTGTTGGTCACTCATTGATCAACAATTACAAGAATGTTTTGGCTTTATCTATTGCTACTGACTACACTTTTGAAGGTTCAGAAGCTATCAAAGATAGATTAGCTAACCCAGAAGCTTATGCTGCTGCTGCACCTGCCGCCACCGGTGCTGCTGCTGAGTCTGGTTCTGCCGACGCTGCTGCTGACGCTGCTCCAGAAGAAGAAGCCGAAGAATCAGACGATGACATGGGTTTCGGTTTATTCGATTAGAGACACTGACCGACACTGACCGACACTATCGAACAGAGCAAGATAGTGGAGCACACTGACCAACACACTCGAGCAGAGCTCCGCTCGATGGTTACTTCACTGACTTTGCTTCCCCCCCATTTCTAGATTTTGTATATGGTCTTTCACTTTTTTTTTTTCCTTTTTCCTTTATGAAATGAAATGAATGCATTTTGTATTGTAATTAGTATTTGAGTAAATATTTTGCAAGAGTAACATCATCTATTATCGGAGTAAGTAAGTATGAATTTTGACACATACGACTCAAAAGTGACGTTTTCAGATTCTTCGCCCTGCTCAAGTGTATACCATGAGGTTTGTTGTGTCGGCAATTCAAATACAAGTTTGTCTGAATGTGACTTAAATATGGAATTTTTAAGAATCATTTATGCGATAGATAATAGTCCATATAGAGATTTGAGTCAACTAATAGCTGTTCATTTACAAGTCTCACGAGGTCTTTCGAAACTATGGGAATTTTCGCAGCAAAATGGTGAGTTTCAAGAAAGAGTTGTTGCTTTTATGAGAAATAACAGGTTGAACTATATAATTCAACGAATAGTTTTGGCGGCACTCAAAAAACAGGGGAAACTGTTTAGTGTTGTTGATGAGAAAAAACTGTTGCTTGATGCTATCGATGAAAGAAAACTGTTGCTTGATGCTATCGATAAGAGAAAACTGTTGCTTGATGCTATCGACGAAAGAAAACTGTTTGATGCTATAGATAGGGTTGATGCCTTGGAGCTTATTTCAAGGGTAACTGAACAAATCTACAAGATCAATGCTTGGTGCAATGAAGCAATCAATGTCGATTTGACAATGGATTTGTTGGAAATTGCAACTAGGAGGAGAAATAATGCTGTCACTATAAATCTGGCGGTGGTGGATAATACTTCAGATATAAGATTCAACCAAATTGTCACCACAATATTAACCTATGCACCGCCTCGAGTTGCTATATTCGAGTTTCTTCAACTGAGCATTGACTCGTGCGAGGACCAAAGTGTGATTCACTACACAATTTACGACATTGGCGTACTTTTTGGCAATTTGTATTCAAATCGCTCGTTGTTGGGGCTGCGAGAAATACAAGTTTTGAAATTTGCGGCACTGGCAATTCTTTTGGCAATAGTTGAAAAAAACTACCATGAAATCAACTTGGAAGCATACAAAGTTATCAAACATCGATATTCGGCTATATTCTGCTCCCCATACTCGAACAACAACGACAACAACAATTTGAATAGTGGACCAGCTGTGGAGCAAAACTCGGATCTTTTCCACTATGATCTTGTTCCAATCGAAACCCCGGCTTTAGGTCACTCGACACCAAGACAAGTTCCCGAGTCTTACACTGAAGATATTAGTCAGTGGGTCAGGCACCAACTTCTTAATGAAAACTCAGAAGATGAGAGACCAACAGAAATAGAAGAAGGGCAGCAGCATATGTTCGAGACTACAAAACCAAAAAGGAGAGGTTTCAGCAGAATTTTTAAAAGGAAACAAGATACATCGAATTTGAAAAGAAAATCCAAATGGAATTTCTTTAAAAGATATTATTTACAAGAACCTGCATTTAGTTGAAATATTGCTACTTATTTCTAATACTTTTTATCGTTTCTCCTCCTTATGTTTTCCACTAATACTTTTTATCGTTTCTTCTCCTAATATTTTCCACCGGTAGTTCTTGAGTTTCCCGAATATCTTCCACTACTGGGGATAGAATTTCTTGAGTAATATTTTGACTAGATGGCCAGAAACTCGGCAAAATACCAGCTTTTTTGAATAACCATGCAACTCTATCCGTTGGCTCTGCGCCTCTTCCTAGCCAATATTTAGCTCTATGAAAATCCAAACTTATATCTTTTACTGGCATCGACTTGTCAAAAGATGGTTGCGGAGTAGGTACCGAGTTATAAGTTCCAATAACTTCAATTGGCACTTTCTGTTGAGCCTTTTTCGCTTTCATCACTACGATATTATAAATAGGCTGGTGCTTACGACCAAATCTGGCAAGCCTTATTCTGATTAAATTCCTCTTATGAGCAGTCTTCTCCGCTAGGGACATCACTGGCTTGGACATAGACATAACGGCTAAGGAAACAACTATGAAAAAAAAAATTTCAATGGAAGAGTTATGGTTGAAAAAAGTGAAAAAAAAAAAATCGTTTTGGTAGAAGAGAAAAAAGTTTCTAGTTGATAAATGATAAGTAGTTAATATATATATTCTATACTCTACTACTTTACTGTCTTCTATACTTTATAGGGCTCAAGCTAAAGCTTCTTTTGAGCTTTGTATTTCTGTTTGTTTTTTGGTTTCGAGATTTTGGACTTTCCAAGGACTTTTGTGTGTTTAGTTGTCGCTTGTCTTTTGGATTTACTCTCATTATTATTACCATCATCATTATCGTCGTCAGACCAAATATCGTCATCTCCGTTCTTAGTTTTCTTAAACTTCAATTTATTCTTTTGTCCTCTGACTGGAGCTTGTTTGACGGCATCCAAATATGCATCAACGCCCGATGATTTCTTAGCCAAGGGGTCTTCCTCAGTGATACCATTTTCTGAGATATATAATTTACCATTCTTAGTCAAAGCTTGTTTATCCAGCTTCGAATTGACCATCCTCTGAGACTTGGATGAGTGGATATGTGCTAAAGCTTGGCGATCTAACAAGTCAAGTGGATCATCACCGGATTCTACTATAACCTGGCTAAACTTTCTATTGCCCTTTTTAATTTTTTCGGCATCTTCATCATATATATCAACTTCATCGTCATCGGATACATCTGAATCGTATAACGCTTCCTCGTAGGCAGAAACAAATTTTTTATTCTTCTTGTTTGAAACCTTGCTAGAATTTCCTTCACCCGTTGATGATAATAATATTGATGACGAGGATGATGATGTCGATTTTTCCAACTCCTGTTTCCTCTTGGCTCTGTTTCGAGCCTTTTTAATATTCGCAACTAGTTTTTGATCTTCTTCAGGAATGGCATTCTCCACCTCCTCAACACCAAATTTTTTAATTAACCGTTCTATGATGTGCTTTACCTTGCTTTTGAAATGTCCCTTATGCTCATGTGACCATCTCATCAACTTTGTGAGAAGCTCCTGCAAATTTTGCTTAACCATCTCTTCAGGCAAAGATAGCACTTCAACTTTCACAAACCCAATTGCCGATTTTGCAATCTCTCTAGAATTATGAGTGAGGAATAACTCAACAGTGGATGCTATTTCAACTAATGTCTCTGCAGGTAGATCGCCCCGAAATTCAAACACAAGGCAAGAGATGGCTGTAATTGTAGCCGATATCATGTGTGGATTTTGTGCCGCCAACCCAGCACTTACCATAGTGAAGAACTCGGTCAATGATGCCTGGGTTGGCTCCGCACCGGGCTCAAAACCCGGGACTTTAGAATTATCAACCAACCCACCGTTTCTCATCTTGTGACCCATTTTTATTAAAATTTGATATGACAATCCCCTTGTTTTTTCATTCACATCCTTCGTTGCCATTATGATCTCTTGTAAAATAGAAGGTATAAAAAACAAATCTGTACTTGGGAGAATATCTAATACCAACAAAATAACACTCAACCTGGCAGATCTTGAAGATTGGTTTGTGCAATCTGCGGTTTTCACCAACATTGACTCAATGTCGCCAATATACTTTGTAATTGACTTTTTACCCTGTTCAGATTCGCAAAGATTCGTTATAATTCTGTATGACCTCTTTTGAAGCAAGGGTTTAGATTCCAAAGAAACAGTGATGGCAAAGATCGAGAAAAGTGCATTATGTGAAGTGTCAGGTAAGTACTTGGCCATGGCAACAATCAAGTCCATCATAGTGACACTAGTATCGGGAGTGGAATCAGCAGAAGCCGCTTTCTTTAATGCACCCAGCGATTCTTTCTTCTTCTTCTCCTCCTCCTCGTCCAAAGCCGTCTTCAACATCCCACATACTTTATCGAAAGTGGAAGCTATCTCCGGAACAGGAAGGATCTGTAAATAAGCTTCTATGGCTTCCAAAACAAATCCTCTTGACTCGGGCATGGTGTAAGAAAATACATTAAACAACACAGTCAAAATGTTGGAAGCAATTGATTTCAAATATTCGATATTCTTTGCCGCTTCTTCTCTTGGAAACTCCTGCTGATGCAACAACAAAAAAACATCATCCTTATTATCATTGTTATCATTATTATCATTACTATTTTTATTACTATTGTTGTTGTTATCATCATTAGCATTAAATGATGACACTGATGATGATACACCATCACGGTACGACAAGTTTGATGTCACTAGCATTTTCCATGCATGACATATAAACGGTCTCAAGTCCACCTGGGCAAACATCAAGTCTGCCAATTCCGTAGCAAACTTTTCATCAAAAGCAGATATCAAGTCTCTCGGCAAATCACAAAAGCGAGGCAACAAAGACCAAACTTGATCAATAATGGTTTGAAATATCTTGTTGTTCATCGACTCCCTTTGACTAGAATTTTCTATTTGTGCTCTAAAAAACTCGACTGTTGGCAAAATCTTGATTTTGTAATAATTTAGTTGAGCACAACGCACATTATCCCTAAGGAGGGGCAAGAGCCAGGCTCTACCAGGACCACCACCACCACTTGTATTGGTATTGGTACCATTGTCTCCTAAATTCAATGGAAGCACGCTTAATACTGCTTCAGGACCAATGGCTGAAATTGCGGCACCAATGCACTCCTCTGCTTCTTTGTTATGAGGGAAATGGTCTGCTTCATTTGTCCTCCAATCGCCTATTGTTTTAATGATACTCAAAAAATCAGGGTTTGCTCTCGATTGAAATTTCAAAATTGCTGCTTTGACAAACGCCAATACCAGACCTATTGCATGTTGGTACTTGATCGAGAATAATTCAGTCTCTATCATCTCAGCTATAAATGTAATGGTGCTATCAACTACTTCATAAATGTCTTCAGTAATGCTATATTGAGTATTTGGTTGCAAAAGAAACTTATCAGGAATAGTTTGTGATATAATGGAAACTAAACAGTTTGATGCGTTCGTATAAAGGTCCTTAGAATCCGACAACAAAAGCTGAGATACCACTACCAATACTTGTGGTAACCTCTTGATACACTCTAAAGGTGATAGCATACTATACCCCTCCAATGCTTTCGCCACAACTCGCAACCAAGTAGTACTCAAATGAATGTCATTGGTACTAGGCTTCAAGTCAAAGATTATGTCCAACACTTTTGTGTACTTGGCAATATCAACTACATTGGTCATTGACTTGAATAAACCTTCAAATGCTTCAAAAGCTGCTGCGACCAAGAATTGGTCAGTTGTTTTAGATACATCTAACAACGCGTCACACAAGTCTTCAATATTCTCCACTGGCCATGAAATCGTAGAAGCTATAGTCGCTATGAGTTGCAAACAATGGATGATTTGCGACTTGGTATCTTTGTCAATGTTACTCTTTTTCTTATTTTTTTTACCTTGGTAAAGTATATCCTTGAGGCGCTTTAGTGAAGCATCCGAAGCAATGGCACCTGTGATATGCACAGAGTTCATGTTTGTTGATGACTTCTCTAATATCAGTTTTACCGCTTCTTGAGCTCTTCTTCTCACTTTTGGCCTCGCATCAAATGATAACTCAATGAGCGCCAAAAATGCCCTGTTTGGAGATATTGCACCGGCACGGTGTGTCGTCCATAGTAAATTGTCTTGTGCTAATAGTAAGCTTTCAATAGCCCCAATAGCTGATCTGGCCAAAGGAGCGTCTGCTTCTACATTTAGTAGTTGTGATATCTTCAACAATATTTCCTTAAACTTTTGTTTAAGAAAAGGTTTAGGGGTGAAGGGGAATAAAAGATCAAGGAAGTAAGTAGTACTTGCTGCTAAGCTTCCATCGATAATTTTGTCATCTTTGATACACTGATCAAGCAAGGATAAGAAAGAAACAACATAACTTATTGGCGTTTTTGCGTCATTCTGCTCCTCAATATTTTCTTCAACTGCCGATAAAATTATAGCCAAATGTTTCTGATTGTCCAATTTTGAATTGATCTGAGAACGTATTTTTAAAAGTTTGTCTTCTAACTCATTCTGGTCGACAAATACCTGTTGGTCGGCCGTTCCATCTCCAGACATCATCTATAGTTTGACTGGATCAAGTAGAGAAAGGAAGGGAAGGAGAATCCCAATTCTTTAGTCGCATTTTTTTTTTCATCTTCGCGATGAGATGAGATGAGATGTTAGTCACGTGCACGGAAAAACACCTCCGTCGTGGGGGGGGGGGTTTTCTTATTTTGTACAAGTATACTTGTAGTTGTAGTTGTAGTTGTAGTTGTAGATATATTACTACAAAATTGCAAAGAAACCACATACATACACACACTCTTTTTGTAGGGACTTTATGCTTCTAAATTCAACAGATCCAACAAAGTATCAATAATTGCAATGTCTTGGTCGTATTTTAAAACAGCGTTTTTATAAAGATTGATGTTTTCAGCGTGCCGGTCAATAGTACCAAAGTAAAGAGGATCAAAACTTTCGCTTTCTTCGCTAATCGCATACTTCTTGGCCAAATAGTATCTAATATCATCAACCAATTCAATGGTATCCGTAGCTTGTCGTTCTCTAATTCTGGCAGCAGATTCATTAATCATCATCATCAATTTCTTTTTCTCCTTAGTTTCCTGGCAGATTGCTTGCAAGTTGTAGGCAATCATTTTAGTCACGTGCTGCTCAAGTTTATCGCACCTTGTTTGCCAGGATATTCGTATCAAGTCGAACGCATCGTGATTAAGCTCCGACTCCAACTGTTGTAATTCTGCATAGTTGAATTTCCCAAATTGAGAACTAACTCGTACAGCACACATTGTCTTCAACCTTTCCAAGAACAACTCATCAGCCGCTATCAAAAGCTCAATAACGTTCTCCAAGGGGATATTGCTAACATTATCATGGTATAGGTACGATAGCACCATGGCTGCAACTTTTTCATTTGCAGTGCTGCTGGACAACAGAATAACAGGGAGATGCACAGAATCTAAGTTTTCTCGATTAATAATAGCCACCGTATTTTCACCTTCACCTTCACGATATAACGGTATGCCACCCATTGACAATGTGAATATCTCCGATTTAAACATTGTTTCAAAATATTCGGACCTTGCCAAAATTGACTTGTTCAATGGAAAGTATACTACGCTTTCGGTATCGGAGTCAACGCAGCTTAATATGATATCTGGTATTGATGGCAGCTCAAGAAATTGCCCTCGCCTCTTCTCAGTAATAAACTCTTGACAATCTATATCTTCAAGATCAATATCCTGGTTTAGGTTCATTGGCGACGTAAACTTTTCCAGAATTATATCTCGCACCAAGAACAAGTCCAAATCCTTTCTCGCCTTTTCGACAAACTTGAATGCCCACTCATGTTTGATCTTAGATTGCCCTTTCTCATCATCGGCTACAGCGGATATATCGGTTATGCCACTAACCAAATCAAAAAGTTCGTACGCCGTTGCTAATTCAAGTACTTTTGCACGAATCGATTTGTCGATAATCACTATTGAGTCATTGCGCAAGTATATGTAGTCAACAATCACCTTGAAAGCCTCAGGCGTAACATTGGATGACAATGTCACTACATTCAAGTATTTCCAATCTCCCAAAAGCTTTTTCTTAAAGTACGAGCTTCTGGCTGCCAATAAGAATCTATGTAATGCAATTGACTCGCCATAATCAGGTATGTTACCAGAAAACTTGAAAAGTATGTCTTTGTTTGTATTGGTTGCAAGTAAAGAGGCTATGTGCCCGGCAAATGGCTGGTTCATATCAACTGCTTTTGAAATGTCGAAACTCACCAACAAATCCCTGATTTCGTCTGTCAAGGCACCATAAATGCATCTTGCCCCTTGAAAAGTGTCTCTATCGCACACTGCTCCTCTTTTTAACAAGAGTTCAACTATTTTAATATGTCCACATAAGGAACTCAAAATCAATGGAGAATAATCGTACTCGTCGACTTGGTTCACATCAAGATCCGGCGTGCTTAATAGCGAGTCCACTACCTCGTAATCTCCAGTTCGACATGCCATACAAATCTTGTTGAAGGCATCAGAAATTTTTGGCGATTGGGAAGAGCTTGTTTTGTGAGATGAAGGTTGCAACAACGACGACGAAGATGTAGCAGCGGTAGATGTAGCAGCAGCAGCAGCAGCAGCAGCAGTAGTAGTAGTAGTAGTTCTTGTTGTTGCGTACCGATCAGCTAAACTGGTGAATATCAGCAGCAGCTCCATCGAGTTTGAAGATTCATTATCAAACTCTTCAAACTCTTGCGACATTCTCTTTTCTCTTACTTTCAGACTTTCACTAGAGCAACCAAAGGGGAGCTGGTTAATCTTGCTCTAGTCCTAATTGATAATCATCAAAACCCACTTATCTTGTATTCTCTTTTTTTTTATCGTTGAAAAACATTTCTTTTCTTTTTTTTTTTCTTTTGCTAAAGTGATAAGATTTCGGAACGTTTTTCCAGATTGATAAGATACTTGTTAAGTAAGTGTGTGAAGTTACTGCCATACTACCATTCAAACCTACATTTGAGTAAATGAAATGCCTTTCTGAATTAGAGAAGCACGGGTTATTGTTATTGTTGTTCAATTAAACGTGGTTGCTCTTGTTTGCGCCGATTTTTTAGATTTATATGTTAACCACAGTTTCTATTACTGTAGATAGAAAGAGAGCATTTTCGAAAAAGCTAATGGTAAAAAGTACTCATAAAAACTTTAAGTGAAAGATATTGAAAAAAGGGGATACTAATTTAAAAATTTTCAATTTTTTTTTATAGAATAGACGTTATTGAAAACAGGTAATTTTCGCAATAATAACAAAAATGGCTGCAAATTGTCTCTCATAATTGAAAGTTTTATGATTGAGTGCGTTCGTATTAACAAAATACATATTGAACCAAGTGCATACATATATAGACACATCTTCTTCTTAGAAAAGAGGTTCAGTCTCATAACCGAGCACGTGTGTGATATAATTATCAAACACACACACGGGCTTGTTTGCATCAACTCAGTCTGTTGAATAATAGCTAATAAGAGACTAATAAGAGCTAATCATAGAGTAAGTGATTGTGCAACTTGCACTACGGACTGAAAATTACTGACGGGTTTGCAAAAAATATAAATGTGTGTAAACCTTGTACACGTGCACTACTTTTACTTTTTATGAATTTTTTTTTTTTTTTATTTCAATTTGCAGTAATTTAAAAAGTAGTGAAAAATTTTCCTTTCTCACATTTTCCATTTATCCTTTCCTTGCAACATCCAATTAATACTTACAGAATCATGTCAGACCAAGAAGTTTTAGTCTTGAGAGGTACTTTAGAAGGCCACAAAGGTTGGGTCACTTCATTGGCCACCACCCCAGTCCATCCAGATTTGTTATTGTCTGGTTCAAGAGATAAGACCTTGATCAAATGGAAATTGACTGGAGGTGAAGACAACCAATACGGTGTCCCAAAAAAATCATTCACCGGCCACTCCCACATTGTTCAAGATGTCACTATCAGTGCTGATGGTGCTTACGCTTTATCTGCTTCATGGGATAAAACCTTGAGATTATGGGATCTTGAATCTGGTAAAACTACCAGATTTGTTGGTCACAAAGGTGATGTTTTATCCGTCTCCATTGCCAACAACTCTAGACAAATTGTCTCAGCTTCAAGAGACAAGACCGTTAAGGTTTGGAACACCATTGGTGAATGTATGGCTACTTTGACTGGCCACAATGACTGGGTCTCAGCTGTCAGAATTTCTCCATCAAATGAAAATCCTTCTGTTATTTCAGCTTCTTGGGATAAAACTGTTAAGGTATGTTTTACTTTTGCTTTTTACTCTATTTTTTTTTTTTGGGATTAATCAAATTTCAAGTGATGAACATTTCATATTTGCTACTTCAGACGAGGCTTTCAGCCTCGAATGAGACATTTTTTATCACCAAGATCTCTGATTGAAATATATCAATCCCAGTTGAAAGAATATTTTTACTAACAGTTTTTCTTTTTTTTTTTTTTTTTTTAACTAGTCATGGGATTTAACTGATTACACCACCAACGCTGACTTTATTGGTCACACTGGTTACATATCATGTATTACATTATCTCCAGATGGATCATTATGTGCTTCTGCTGGTAAAGATGGTGTTATCATCTTATGGGACTTGAACTCAAACAAAACTTTATACACTTTAGATGCCAAAGCTGAAGTTCACGCCTTGGCTTTCTCACCAAACAGATACTGGTTAGCTGCTGCTACTACTACTGGAATCAAGATCTTCAAATTACAAGAAAGATCATTGTTGGACGAGTTGAAACCAGAATTCGCTATTGGTGCTAACGCCAAAGACCCAGAAGCTATCTCATTAGCTTGGTCTGCTGATGGTCAAAACTTGTTTGCAGGTTACACTGATAATGTTATTAGAGTATGGCAAGTTATGACTCCATCTGCTTAAAAGAAAATAGCAGTTTAGAGAGAAAGAGAGATTAAAGGGGAAGGAAATTGTACTATTAGGTAAGAAATAAGAAGGGTGTATATATAACGTCTATTTACAAACTTTGAAAGTCTCTCATTCTATTAAATATATTTTTCCACTTGCGCTTCCGCCAACTGACCAATTTTGTGTAGGGTGCAACGTGCAAACAGCAGGTACAGCACCTATTTGATCGTTTAAATGCGCCAAAATATGGCCTTCTTGGTCATAAACATCCATTCCCCTTTTCATGTTTGCAATGATAAATTTTTGCATGCCATCTTGAGGGTCCTCTTGCCACTTTGACTTTAAGATGGATACCCATCTACCAGTTTGACAATTGTGTTTTATTTTGTTGACCGGCTTGAGATTATCTGGGAGAATAATTTCATCGATTGCTTGTACTTCGGGATGTTTGTAATTAGGTAAGTAGTCTGATTGCCATTTGGTGATTTTGGGCTCCTTGTTGTAGTTGAATATACAAATTTGATCATCATAACCGTTGCACACAAGGCGATTTTCAATGTTCCAGTCAACTGTAGATATGGATAAACGAGACACGTAATTTCCGTACATGTGGGGACTCTTTTGCTTTTCAAATTCTGAGTACACCAGTGGTCCTATTTTGCGTAGATCCCAAATTCTTAAAGTTCTATCCAACGATGCAGTGGCTATCTGGTAAGAATTGTTTGGATTTATTGCAAACCCGCCTATTTTCTTATCGTGTAACCTCAAATAATTTTCATGTCTCTTTGGCTTGGATCTCAAATCGTATCTGGCAAAAATTCCCTCCAATGTGCTCAAGTACAACAAGTTCGGGTCTTCTCGCACAAAATTGATATCACTAACTCCAAACTCCGAGTTATGTGCATCGCTCAAATAGATAACTTCCGAAGTTGACAATTTGTTCAAGTCCAAAGATCGCACACTACCGTCATAAGAAGCTGAAATGAGCTTTTGCAACTGGTTTCTAGGGGTCAATATTTTGGATATATTCCTACCATGTGGTCGTAAAATTGAAATGGTAGGATCTTCCGAATTAGAGTCGGGGGCCCATATCCCCAAATTACCATTTGTGTCCCCGGCTGCTACAATCCTGTCCGTGGTGGAAGGATGAAACAGAATAGACGTGATTCGATTATGCGTAAGCTTAATTTCCAATGGATCGAATTTTGGATAAATATGCATACTTTCAAATTCCTTCCTCTTGGCATCAATTGATTTGTTGCTGTTGGTTTCGTGTTTCTTGATCTTTTCGTAAAAGTCTCCTGCTGAAAACTTGTCGCCCACCAATTGAATCAATTTCAAAACTTCAGATTCTTCTTTTACGAGATCTTCATAGTCTTTATCACCATCACCATCGCCATCATTTTCAGATTTGACTTTATTGCGCACCTTATCTTCAAAAACCATATCACCCTTCTTGCGATCGGTAATCAAGTCTATCAAATTGAAGTCACCAAATAACTTGGTTCGCTTCAAGTTCTCATATTCTCGTTTCTGACGTTCCTTAGCTTCTTCTTGTTCTCTGTGTCTCGCATACTCTTCAGGATTTTCTGCTTCCGATTTAATCCCCGCAAGACGCCGAGACCTTCTAGCCGGCTCTACTACCTTCTTTTCTTTTTTACTAACTCGACCTGACGATCTAACTGTTTTTTTCCTTTGCAACAGCAGCGACTGTTGCTGCGATGACGTTGATGCAGATCTTGCAATCTCATTAGATATATCCCCAGATATTGAATCAAGATTCAATTTCGAAAGCAACTCCTTGTTTCGTTTAATATTCTGTTGCCTTATTCTTTCAAACTCTGTTAGCGTCATTATATATATATATATATATATATATATGCTTGTTAAGTTATAAACCCTCCTCCATATAGTGGGAATGTCCCTCGTAGTGCAATGTTCAAAGTTGTTTTTTCCCCAAATGTTCTCGACGACCTAATAAATACGCGTCAGGTGGTATCATATCGTCCCAACTGGCACGCGCGTGGGCGCACCACGCGTTCGAGCGCCTCATGGTTCGACAATATTTTGATGTTTTTGATGTTTTTTGATGTTTTTTGATATTTTGTATTTATTAGTTTACAGGTTTTATTCTATAGAAACTGAGCGTAATACATCACCACACAAGTACAAACTTCCACATATTACAACAACGGTACCAGATTTGGTCTTATTTCTTTCTCTTAGATATTCAAATACATCGTCGATATATGCGTTTTCCAAAGCGAGTTCGACATTGCAATATTTCTCTGCCACCTTTTTGATCTTCTGGACCAGTTCGCAGTGAATCCAAGGCATTCGGTCTGGTTGCAGAAATAGAGACGGTACTACCACATCGTTACCTGGCTTTCTTATTAGGTGTTTCATAATATTGTCCAAGTTCTTACCTCGCGTTACCCCAATCACAAAAAGGATATCTTGCTCCAAATAGTTTTTTCTTAAATACTTGCCCAATTCGATCGCCGAACTTTCATTGTGAGCACCGTCGATGAGCACTTGCATTTCTTTGAGTCCTTTTACTTTTATCGATTGTAACCTTCCTGGCCAATTTGTGTTTTTTATCCCCGATATGATCTTTTCCGTAGAAAAGGCGTAGGGGTGGTGGTCTACATGGTGATATGCGCTTAAGGAGCTCAAAATTCTCAATGCTAGAGCTAGATTGTTGATCTGGTAATCACCTCTCAAGGGACTATACTGAATCATGTTTCTGTCCATTGCACTTGGAGTAACCACATGCATCGGACATGAAACGGAGCGACTTTTTTCTCGTAGTATGTTCAAGACACTTTCTCCATTCAGAGAATCGACAAAGCAAGGGATGTCTTGCTTCATGATGCCAGCTTTTTCCCAAGCAATCTTTTCAATAGTGTTTCCAAGTAATTTCTCGTGATCCATCCCTATCATAGTAATTCCAGTAGCCACAACTCCACCTGTTGGTTGGCCTGTTTTCTTATGAAATGCAGTTAGGACATTGGTGGCATCGAGTCTTCCACCAACCCCGACTTCAATTAAAGCCAACTCAACTCTTTCTAATTCAAAGATTCTCAATGCCGTGACCGTGAGGATTTCAAATTCCGTACACTTGAGTTCTAATTCCTCGTTTATTTGAGTAACTTTACTATTGATAATGTCGAATTTGGACCGCGGGTACACCTCGTTGTTGATACATATGCAATCATTGATTTCCACCATATGAGGTGAGGTGAATTTTCCATTACGTATTCGACTTTGAGTCAAGATAGATGATAAATATGCTAACGTCGAGCCCTTTCCATTAGTACCTGCAATATGTATCGACTTATAACTCAAATGAGGGTTGTTTAGGTGAGCTAAAAGCTTCGTTATTCGAGCTAACCCGAGGTCGATGGGCATATGAAGTAACCAAGCTCGATGAGTTCTATACTAAAAGATTTTAGGTTGAAAAAAAGAAAGAAAAAGAAAGAAAAAAAAAAAGGACCCCCCCCCCATTGAAAAGAGAACAATTGAAGCCGTGTGTAGGAAGGTATATCTCTCAATGATGTCCAAAGAAACACCCAGCAATTACATCCAGGAGCGGTTAGACGCGCTATCTGAAATAGATTTTCGGATTGTTTCCTTACTTGAGAATTTTTCCTCTTTATTTGAGACATATTCATGTAAGAATGAAGATACGTTTATTTCCGATGCTAATTTGATTTTCAACCAGTTGAGTAAAGTCGCAATAGAGTTGCGCAAAGAGGTGAAACATATGGACGACAATATTGGCGTATATGATAAGAACAAAGACGGAATAATGATATTACCAATAAATGTTGATCAGAAGAATGCACAACTAGGGCGGGAGAAGTTGAATTTGGAAATTAAAGAGTTACGGCGATTATTGCATAGGGAGAAACCGACAATTCAAGAGGAGAGCGAGAGTGTAGAGAGGAATGATTCTAAAAAAGAGGACACTGACCTTGAAATGGTTGAATAAAACACTTATTTCTTTACTTGCCTTTTTATATCTCCTCGAGATAGCCCTGTTGGATCAACCTTTCGACATCGCTTTTGCGAACATAGAACTGGGAGTCCTTAATTAAATTGAAGGAGCCGTATTCTGTGGTGACATCTCCACCATCCTTTAGGCATCGCACATCAATGAAAATGTCAGATGGGGTTTGTAAGTCGCCCATCAAATCCAAGTACTCACCAAACTTCAGCTTATAGTTCATGATCAACTCTTGATAATTTTTATAAAAATCTTGCTCGAAATGGTTTAAATTTGTCATTTCCAACTGGGTAGTATAACTTGGTATTGTATTTGCTGCCGGTGCGGGGTTACCGTTGGTTCTATTTGATGATGATGATGTTGTTGTTGTCGATGTTGTTGTTTTCGAAGGTGTAGTGCCGCTTGCCTCATTACTTACAGGGGTGACTGATGATGAAGGGACGTTTGTATCTATAGAATCGTATGGATCAATATTTAGCCATGAAAATTCCACGAGTTTATCGCTTCGCAATTTCTCATACGCTAGTAGACACCTTTTATTCCTCCTCATTGACAAATGTGTAACAAAAGTTTGGCATTGGTTGATTTTCTGATCTTGCTTAAACTGCTCATCAAACTTGTTAACATCATTTTGAAGATTTTCCATTGCTATTTGCAAATATTCCGAATCCTTGTTCAAATCGTTAGTCTCCTTTACGATATCACGGATGAGATCAGCCTGATACATTGGTATGCTTGGCAAATTGGCGAACCGTTTAGCATCCAACACGAGCTTATTTGCAAGATCACCATACATTTTTTGATCAACAAGGGGAAAAGAGAAGAGAAGAGTTGAGTTGATTTCTTTAGTTTTTAGGAGCGCGCTTATCTTGAAGATCTTGAGAAGAGAAAAAGTGACTAGAGACTAGAGACTAGAGACTAGAGACTAGACGAGTGAAACGAGTCTAGTCGATAGAAACTAGTTGAAAGAGAAAGAGAAAGAGAAAGAGAAAGAGAAGAGTCGATAGAGAGACTAGTCTATAGAGAGACTAGTCTATAGCGTGTAGATATATAGAGAGAACACACACGGTGGCAGCTAGTGGTAGTATCTACTATCGAGGAACGAGATAGTAGAAAACTGTAGTAGTACTCAATAAAAGTGCTCTAGTGGGTGATAGTAGAAAACTGTAGTAGTACTCAATAAAAGTGCTCTAGTGGGTGATAGTAGAAAACTGTAGTAGTACTCAATAAAAGTGCTCTAGTGGGTGATAGTAGAAAACTGTAGTAGTACTCAATAAAAGTGCTCTAGTGGGTGATAGTAGAAAACTGTAGTAGTACTCAATAAAAGTGATTTAATGGATGATAGTAATAGAATACACTCGTAGTAGTACACTGGTAGAAAGTACTCTAATGGTTGATTGTAGTAGATTTTGCTTATGCTGTGCTTATGGTCGTACTATCGAGCATAGCGGAACAGTCAAAAGTGCTCTAGTGCTCTCCTCGATAGACTGTTTTATGGACAGTGCTATGGACAGTGCTTATGCACTTCACTGCTTGTACTCTGTAGTCTCTCTTATGCCCACTGCTTATGCTCTCATGCACTCTACTCTCTCTATCTACACTCTATAGACTAGACTCGTTTCACTCGTCTGGTCTCTCTCTATCTACACTTTACATACTAGACTCGTTTCACTCGTCTAGTCTCTCTCTACCTACACTCTATAGACTAGTCTCGTTTCACTCGTTTAGTCTTTCTATCTAGTCATTCTCTATCTACTATGTCTATCGACTAGACTCGTTTCACTCGTCTAGTCTCTTGTTTTGATATACCGCCATTACATCAATACTACCATAAGCTTTCAAAGCACTTTTAGTTCCATCAGCCTCACTCGCGACATTGTGTTTATCGGCAGTAGTTTCGCCTTCTGGTGGTCCACTATCGAGCAGTGACACTATCTCGCTCTGCTCAATAGTTGACTAGAAGAGTGAAACGAGTCTAGTTAATTAAGTAGAGATAAAGAGAAAATACTATAGCTAGTGGTGGCAGCTAGTGTGCTCCACTTTCTTGGTCTGCTCGATAGTGTCGGCAAGTATGTTCGATAGTATCGCAAGGTAAATACATTCAAATTTACAGTTTTTCTATAAAAGGCAAAGAATGTTTACTTTTATGATTAACCTTTATGCTTGGCCTTTATACTAAACCAGTATCCTTTATACTATCAAGCAGTGCGACATAGTGTCGTTCGCAGTATGCTCGATAGTGTCACTAGTATGCTCTACTATCTTGCTCTGCTCGATAGTGTCACTAGTATGCTCTACTATCTTGCTCTGCTCGATAGTGTCACTAGTATGCTCTACTATCTTGCTCTGCTCGATAGTGTCGACCAGTATGCTCTACTATCTTGCTCTGCTCGATAGTGTCGACCAGTATGCTCCACTATCTCGCTCTGCTCGATAGTGTCGATAGTGTTGATAGTGTCGATAGTGTTGATAGTGTCGATAGTGTCGATAGTGTCAGCAGAAAAAAACTTCAATGTAAACTTTCATTCCATTTCTTATCGATTGTTTCTTAAATTAAACTCTCTTTAATTTAAATCAGCTTTGAAGGCTGTGCATTTAATTGTTTCCAAACAATAAAAATATTGCTGTCGAGTATATTGCTGTGAAAATCCTGTTTCTGTGGAAACCCCCGTGTGTTTACTTGGTCTACATTTTGACAAACAAACAACTTTGTTTTCACATCACTTCAAAAGTGTTATTCCATTAGCCGCTTGAATAACTTCTTCATTCTCGGCTGGGCCTTTTTTTCCCCTCGCCTTTATTCGGCAATTGAAACTTGAACAGATTTATTCATTTAATTGTCTCCCTTAACTTTGTCCTATCATTCATTCATATAGGAATATATATATATATATATTCCTCCTTTTCAGTGGGCATGTCTCTCCAGAAAAACAAAATTGAACCGTTGTTGGACAATTTGCAAAGCATCCAATCAAACCTCGACGAGTATTTACCAGCCGCTTACTGTTTTATACAAGCACAAAAGGTCCATTTCACCCCTATTGAAAAAGATGAAAACGAGGGGAGGGACGACAATACCGACAGCTCCGTCGTTATAGCACTAGAAAACGAAAGGTTGCCCTTCAATGTTAACGTGTTCAAAAATGGTATAGCATCAAAAGTAGATGCCGATTTCTTGCCAGATAAGTTGTATTTGAAAAATAAAAACCTTCTTTATAGCCTCAACAACCCGTCTACATCTGATGTAGAAACTGAGAGCAATGGAAATAGCTTATTGGTACCGTCAATGTCAATGTCAACGTCAACATCTGGAACTTTGAATTCTGATCATTTAAATTCGTCTTTGCCGTTTGATTCAAAGTCGAGATCAAGATCTCCATCTCCATCTCCCTCTCCACCAGCTACTTGCGCCGACAATATGACAAGCTCTTTATATTTGCCGAAAATGGTGATCAATTTGACCGAAAATTTGCAAACAGAGTTTCAACAGTTGAAAAGATTGATTTTAAAAGTGTTCCCTCGGTGGCACAATGAGAATAAGTTGAAATTAAAACAACTTACTGGCGGTATCACAAATATGCTTTTATCGTGCGAATATGATGGCACAACAACAATTCTTATCAGAGTTTACGGCCACGGAACAAATCTCATCATCGACAGACATCGCGAGTTTATTTCTCATCTTATATTAAACTCCATCGGCCTCGCACCGCCTGTTTACGCACGGTTCAAAAATGGATTGATCTACGGGTTTCTTCATGGAAGATCCCTCAAGCCAAGCGAGCTCAGCAATCCCCGGCTATATCCATTGGTTGCTCAACAATTGGGCAATTGGCATAAATCCTTAAACTACACGTTGATCGAGGAAGGCGTTGAAAAGATACGAGCTTTGAGACTCAGCTCACGAAGAAACTCGTTTAGCAAAAAGAAATCGTCGAAAAAGAAGAAAAGGTTCATTTCAAATATTTGGGAATTGATTGACGATTGGATCGAAATCGTGCCAGTAAACCCGGAACTAATTGCTTCTTTTCAACAGCATCTCAACATCGAAGTCAACGAACTCAACTTGAAAGATGTGGTAAAAGGAGAGTTCCATTGGTTACAGAAAACCCTCGAAGCTGTCAATTCACCAATAGTCTCTTCCCATTGCGATTTGTTATCGGGAAATATAATTGTTCCAGAAGACTACAACGAGAAAGTTTACAGTTACGACAACGACAACGACAACGACGACAACAACAACAACAACACACCACTACCAGACGTGGAATTTAATCCCGTTAAATTCATTGACTACGAGTATATGTTGCCCGCACCAAGAGCTTTCGATATTGCCAACCATTTCGCCGAGTGGCAGGGATTCGATTGTGATCGAAGTGCAATACCAGAGCCAAGCATCGATAACCCCACAATAGTAAAATTTTGTCAGGGGTACCTTAACAACAATGATATGCTCAAGATAGAGGAGTTGGTAAATGAGATTTCTATGTTTTATGGTCTCCCGGGTTTTTATTGGGGTATTTGGGCAATGATACAAAGTGAACTATCGAACATCGACTTTGATTACGCCAAGTATGGTAAATCAAGATTACAAGAATACTGGGACTGGAAGCTGATAAATGAGCAGAAATTAGACAAGTCAATTTAACAATATTTTTTTTTTTTCTTTTTCTTTTTCTTTTTCTTTTTCTTTTCCTTTATATACATGTAACCCTTGAAAGGGGATTGAAGTATGCTTTATCTCTGTAAGTCTACTATTGCTGTATGGTGTGTTTTTGCTGCAACCAATATACACCATTTGTGACCTTTTGCTGCTTCTTTCACCAAATTATTGTAGATGTTCAAAGCAAAGCTTTTAGGTAAATTATTGGAACTAAACACCACTTTTCTGATCCATTCATCTTGTTGGTGGATTGACGTAATGCTGATCATGTCCAAAACTTCATCACGAAGATCAAAAATCAAAACTGGGCCATTCGCTAAACTTTTTACCGCTTTCGATCCCACAACGCGACCATGACTTTCAGTTTCCCATTTCTCACGCTTGTTCTTTCGACCCCTGGGTGCTTCATTATTAACAACAATAACTTTTTGATTCAAGTCTATCGATCCCATTTCTTCCTCAAAATCATGGGCATCATCTATTTTCGTTTGTGAGTGGGCTGGCAATTCGTCCTCGCTTGTGTTCTTTTTTTCATTCATTTCGTCAGAAAGACTTTTCAATACTTCATCATATGTGTCCCAACTTGTTTCTTTACCAGATATAACGTTTCTGATTCTCAATGGTTTGTAGCTCGATGCCTTTTTTGATCGCTTGTATGCCTGTCCAGACTGCTTCATCAAAAGAAGCCACTTTGATCCAGCGTCAATGGCTTCTTGAATAAGCTCATCCTGTGGCTTGGCTTTAGTGCAAATATCCGCACTAATATTTTTGGACCAAAGCTTTCCAAGCAATTCAAAACCACATTTATTCAAAACCTCTGGATCTGTAGAACCCACAATTACATCACAGCGACTCCCAAAGCTACCAGCGCTACGCTTGAAATTCTTGCGTGAAACTATGGTCTTCATCCATTTGAAAAGAAAGGTTGTGGTTAATGTAAATCCAACACAGTGTGATGGTGGTTTATTAAAGCTCAGTGGTTTCGAAGACTTTATCATTGAGTTAATATCTGAAAAGGAATTTATCAAGGAGTCAAACCGTCCGCCAGTTATTATCCTGTTCAATCGCTTAGATTCTTCAGCTTTGAACATGCCTTGAAACATAATACTATGACAGTAGTACTGATTGTCGTAATTGCTCAAGGGATTAAACACAACATCTGAAACAAACTCAAACTGCTTTAGTATCCCCATAACCTTTGTCAAGTACGCAAAAGCTCTTTCAGCCTTAATCAAATGTGGAGAATCTATCATTAATTTCTGCAACTTATGCCGCGCTTCGTGGATTGAACAGGTAAAGTTGAAATTTTCAAGAAGGTCTTCTACAACAGTGTGGGGGATATTCAACTGTTCCCGAAGGGTTCTTTTCACTTCTGTGCTATTCATATCAACTTCCAACTGCGACAATGTTCCCAAAACTGATACAATGATTTTCTCATCAATTTTTACATTCTCAAATGCAAATGAAATAACTGCATCTAGAATATCATAGTGATTGATTAAAATTATCTTTTTTGTAGGAACATACGAAATGAAACCCAAAATTTCGTCAACAACTTTGAGGCATTCAGCGTCTTTCACAATAACATCTTCACGAGTTTCCGTCGCAATGTTGAAATTCATGGCGCTATATTTTTCTGGCACTCCAACGCCTCGTTGATTTGATCTGTAAACAAATTCATGGCGGTAGAATTTCGAAGCATGCACATCATTTTTACTGATAAACCTGGCAACAGGAATCGTTAGGTCATAAGGCAAAGTAACAACTGATCCGCTTTTATCTAGTACCTCGTATACCTGATCGTTTAGCTGATATGGACTTTTCGGTAGTACCACATTAATGTTCAAATTCTCAACTGCTCCATGTCGATGAAAAATAGTCACCAATTCTTCTAGAAGCTTGCTGAAGAGTAAATAGTCATTTGACGATTGTGTTGTTGCGCTTACTCCATCATTGTCATACAACATGTCTTTGGCATACACGTAGGGTTGTTTAAAGAGCGTCTCACGCACTTGTTGTTGCCAGGGTGACGCTGGATCTACTAATGATTTGAGCGCTTCTTGTGTCACTTGGTCCTGGTATTCTACAGGCAACCAGCCACTTTGTAATAGTTCTGATGCACTGGGCCGAGATTTCGGATCTATACTTAACAACTGCTGCACAATTTTCTTTTCAAGGGAGCTCTTCCAATTCTGGGGAAACACTTGGTTTCTTATTTTGTTCAAAGTCGTGACTCTCTCCATACTAGTAGCTAAGGGATAGCACATTTCAAAAAAAATGACTCCCAAAGAAAACATATCAACCTTTTCGTCGTAGTTTCCAGAAGCCACCTCGGGAGCAGTGTATAATACTGTCCCTACAATGGTGGACAAGTCTCCGCCTTTCATTCCATTTTGACCCTCCTTGTCGACACGGGCGAGTTGCTGTTGCTGTTGCTGCTGCTGCTGCTGCTGCTGCTGCTGCTGTTGTTGTTGTTGTTGTTGTTGTTGTTGTTGTTGCTGGTTTCGTGTTTCTGGTGCTAGCAACAACTGTGACTTCCTTGCCAAGCCAAAGTCACCAACTTTGATGTTATTTGACCTATCAATAAAAATGTTCATTGGCTTCAAATCTCGATGTATAAAGCCCTCTTTGTGGATATAAGATACCGCTTCCAACAATTGACGGAATAGTCTCCAGTATTCAGTCACATGCCCTGGCAAACCTTGTCCAATTAAATCAAGTAATGTGTTGTTTTCACAAAACTCCATTTGTATGTACAATATTGACATCCTATTGTTTACTTCACTCTGCAGAGGGTAATTCCTTTTCAGAAGGTCGCGCTTCTTCTCCTTCCCATCTGAACTCCACTCTTCAAAATCCTGATTTTGACTTGCTTCATCTTGTGTTGAGTGCGCAAATTCAAATGCATCTTCTTCTTCATCTGATAAATCTCCATGCCTAAAAGAGTTATCTGAAAATTCAATTCCGGGGTCGAACGAACGAGACATAAAATCAATTTGAAATGAGCTATTCCGTGTTGCATTAGAAAACGATGGCTGGGTGCTATGGTCTTTACCCAAATAATCCAGCGGTTCGACATAGTTCCTTTTTTTGTTCATGACGGTCACTAACGACGATGACGACTCAGACTCGTTGAAGGTTGAAAAATCTTCTTCTATCTCTTCTACCCAAGTTCCATAGTAGCGGACAATATATTGATGATTTAATCGGGCTAAAGATAATACTTCATTTAAAATTGAATCTAACTTGTTGGCCCGGTGTTTGATTTTTTTTATCGCATAATAAGTACCTTCCATTTTATTCCGAGCTTTCACCACTTCGCCAAAACCTCCTTTACCCAATCTGCCAACTTCCTCAAAATCTCTTTCATATCTACTATTTGTGTGTTGTAGTTGTTGTTGCTGCTGTTGCTGTTGCTGTTGCTGCAGCTGTTGTTTTGATTCAAGGGGTGTTGGGAAAAATGAGCTATTCTCTTTTAAATGTTGCCGTTCTGAGTTAGTAGTGGACATATTTCTTTCACTCAAAATACCCACACTGCTTCTCATTTCAATTTGATATCTAGTTAATGCAGGTCCATCACGTAAAAATCTAAGTGCATTCAACTCAATTGGCGTCGGTCGTTTTGAGGGTTTAGGCTGTAACATCTTGGACAATAAATCCCCAACCAATTCCGAATACTGGCTTTTGTAATTTGCCAAGAGCTCTTTGTCATTAATTTTCCGTGCAAATTCTTGTGGAGTACATTCCAATTCTTCAAATATATCACAACCAAGCATAACTTTTGAAAACAAAATTCCTAGGTCCCATATATCAGATTTGTTATTACTGTAAACACCAGCGAGTGTTTCTACTTCCGGGGCTAACCAAATTTTATGGGTCACACAATTGCTTACATGATTCGGGTGCATTTGTCGCATCCGATGTAATCTATGCCCGTAAGAAGGATGAGCTAACTTTACCACTCCTCCGTAGTTTTCTTTAGATACCCCTTCATTGGTTATCTCATCATCTAAACAATTTTCTTCAAATATGCATACAGTTTCCGGTCCAATCAGTTTATGAATGAATCCCAAGCTGTGTAAGTGTTCCAATACAGGTAAAATTTGTATCAACCAGTTTCGTGCAAGAGCCCAGTCTACGTGACCTTTTGATGGGAGGGTTTCCAGTAAAGTTCTCGCTACAAATGAGTATTCATTCAATAGCCGAACCTTCCACCCATTCTCCTTTTTATCAATTTGGAAACCAACCAATTTCAAAATGCGCGGATCTACAATCGCTATACAGCTTTGTAGATCCTTCTCCAATTCTTGTATTTCTCGCTTTCCCTTCTCCGTTTGCCAGTAGTTATGTGTCAAACTTATTTCTGTCAAAAGATAAGACAATTCTATTCCCAATTGATCGGATTTTTGCAGAATCTCTGCATGCACAAAAGGTTTTACTATAAACTGGTCACCTAGCGAGCTTAGCAACCCTTGTTTATTATACTTAATGAACCCCAGAACCGCTCTAAACTTGAAATGTGGTCCATTCTGTAGCAATCTGTCTTCCAAGTCCTTTTCAAATAAGAAAAAGTTTTTTGTCTCCCTTACTGGTGGAGGAGGTAATGGAGCCACAGATAACCGTCCTTCATCCTCAAGCTCACCATCATCCTCAACAAATTCACTTTTAAATTTTTGGATCTGCTCATTGAGCTCTTTATTACGCTCGAGTGCGGCTTTTTCCTCTTCTTTCATAAACTCTTCTTCTTGTTTCTGCAATGCCTCTCTTTCCAACTTCAAACGCTCTTCCCTCTCTTCTTCCAACGATAGCACCTTGTTTGTTTTTGATTGAATTTCATCGAGCAAATACTTGAGTTCAGATATAATTGTAAAGCAGACTTCCTCCTTTGCATACTCTTTTATCAACTCGTCTATTTTCACCCTCAATTGAGTTATATTGCCTTTCAATAGGTTACGAGGCTCTAAAACCTTGACCTTTGGCGCAGACAATGGATAAGTCGGCGTAAACTCTATATCCAAAACAAACGACACCCTTGGATGCCCTTCTTGGGCCTCAGACGATAATTCAATCTGGAAATGTGGATTTGCCTTTTGACCCCAAACCAACTCCTTTGATGTAATATCCTTGAAAATGTCCCCATAAATTGAAGCTATACTATTAAATTCATCTTCCTGTCTACTCTTCAAATCCAAGCTTATCGAGTTTTCGGGCATTGATGTTCAATTTGTACACTCAATGCCAAATTGGTTTATCTCTTTATCTCTCTTTCTCTCTCTCTCTCTCTCTCTCGTTATGTTACTTTACCTCGAATACTTTAAAGTGAGAATATATCTTTTCGCAGCTAAAGAAAGTCTCTTTAATAGAAATTTCAACAATAAGGATTCAAGATCTTGAAGGGAAGGGTTGTAGATAAGTATGCCCTTGGTGGATAAGGTAGAGGATGGAGAAGATACTATTAAGGTACTTTTGACCACTGATAACCATGTTGGCTGTTTTGAGAACGATCCAATACGAGGGGATGATGGGTGGAAGACTTTTGACGAAATAACTCAGATTGCCCGCGATTTAGATGTCGATATGATGATACAAGGGGGGGACTTGTTCCATATAAACAAGCCTTCCAAGAAGTCTATTTATCATGTAATGAAATCTTTGAGGGCTAATTGTATGGGGGACAAACCTTGCGAATTAGAGTTGTTGAATGAGCCAGCAGATTGTATGTCAAATGGGTTTGATGAGGTAAACTACGAGGACCCCAATCTTAACATATCGATCCCGGTGTTTGCAATAAGCGGTAACCACGATGATGCTACAGGCGAGGGCCTATTGCTGGCACTTGACGTTTTGGCCGTTTGCGGCCTCTTGAACTACTTTGGCAAAGTCACAGATACTGAATCAATCACCGTGAAGCCGATTCTTTTACAAAAAGGTACTACAAAATTGGCTCTATACGGTATGTCCAATGTAAGAGATGAAAGATTACACAGGCTGTTTCGAGATGGAGGTGTAAAATTCGAAAGGCTGCGAACCCACACAAATGATTGGTTCAATCTTTTCGTGATTCATCAGAACCACGCCTTGCATACGTACAAGTCCAGCATTCCAGAAAACTTTTTGCCTTCATTCTTGGACTTTGTCCTTTGGGGCCATGAACATGAATGTATACCACACCCTGTCCACAATCCAGAAACAGAATTTGACGTCCTACAAGCTGGCTCTTCAATAGCCACCTCTTTGTCCGAAGGAGAAGTTCCTGACAAAAAGGTTTTCATTATTCGCATAAAGGGCAAAGATTACTCTTTGGAAGCAATTGATTTAAAAACCGTACGCCCATTCATCTTGAGGGATATAGTATTGCTGAAGACTGACTTGATTCCTGGTAAGGCTTCCAAATCCGACGTTATTGCATTTTTGGTACGAGAAGTGGAGTCTGTTATTGAAAGAGCTAGTAATAACCATAATCATGTATCCACAACAACGAGAACGAGAAATTCAATAAATTCACAAAATGGTCAGCCTCCAATGTTGCCATTAGTAAGACTACGGGTGGAATATAGTGGAGGCTACGAGATTGAAAATGTGCGGCGATTTTCTAATCAGTTTGTTGGAAGAATTGCAAATGTGAATGACGTTGTTCAGTTTTACAAAAAGAAAACACCTCAGCAGACGGATGTATTGATGAAAAGGACTAAATTTGATGCTGATTTGGTTGAGGAAAACTTGAATGCAAAAAAGACCACTGAGCTAGCACTACAGGATATTGTGAGCAACTTTTTGAAACAAACCCAGTTAGCTTTGATTCCAGAGGCAGGCTTGAACGAAGCTGTAAAGAAGTTTGTGGAAAATGATGATAAGAGCAGCTTGAGTCATTATATAAATAACGAAATTAAAAAAGAAACAAAGATTCTTTTGAACGTGGATATTGACGATACCGAATTCCACGGTGACGAAAAACAATCAAAAAATATGTTGAAACAAATTTTGATGCAGATTAAAAGCGGTGATAGTGGTGATAGTGGTGGTGGTGGTGGTGGTGATGGTGGTGGTGATGGTGATGGTGATTATGATTCGGATCTGGTGTCGCTAAGCAAGACAAGGAGCAACAATAAAAAGAAAAGAAACAACAATAATAGACTGAAAGCTGGGAAAAGTAAAGAAATTATTAGCTCTGAGGATTCTGAAGTGGAAGTATTGGAGGTTGCCAAACCATCGTCGCGGAATGTATCTCGAAATAAAGCCACTCAACTTGACACTTATCCCGACGACGACATGCAAATTCTTAGTAGTAATGATGATGATGAGTATTATCCACAGCCAGCACCAAGAAAGAGGACTACAGCAGGAACCCGCAGGCGAGGCAGATAAAAATAAAACTAAAAGGAGCAAATTGGATACACAATGGCAGCTAGTGCGCTCCACTTGATAGTGTCATCAGTTCTCTTTATATGATCATCTATGAAAAATAATAAAATTAAACGGTTGTAGCTTCGTTGACCAATTTATCCAAGCTAAACTTTTCACTTCCCTCACTAAACTCTTTGACCAATTGGAGTCTTTGCGGGAATTTCCCATTATAAAATCGTTGCAAGTTCAAAACCAACAATTGAGCTTCTTCAGTTGACAAACCGCCATCTTTCTCATTCCATCCTTGCATCAAAACTATATCTTTGTCCTTACTTAAATCCTGGTGGAATGTTAAGACCACATGAGGTTTGGCAAACTCGCCATGGAGCTTGTATTCTGCTAATGAAGTGAATAAACAGTGTATTGTTTCCTCAGCGACAAAAGACCATTGAACAAACTCCAATTGATATCCCTCTTTCTTAGTTGTATCGTCTTTCTTTGGCAATGGCAAAATAAAGTATGGATATCTAGCAGCATTTTCTGAGATTCCGTCAAATTGCTTATTGTTGATAACAGCGTGAAGTGATTGTGGATCTTTTTGAAATCTTGTTTTCCATAAAAACTCAATTTCATCACGAGAAAGTTTCTTGATCTTTTCCACATCTACATAGTCGTCCAATGTTTTGTAAGGTGTTTGCTTTTTTTCAGCACTTTTATCCCTTGGTGATCGAACATTGATAACAGTAGAATCTTTCTTCTTATTGTCCTTCTGTTGCAGCAGTTCCCAGTTTGTGATTTCCTTTGCAAAGTCAACAGTACCTAGCTCCGATTTGATCTTTTCAATTTGATCCTTGTACTTATCCTTGAGCGCAGCCACATTGTCAAGCCCCAATTCTCTAGCCTTTTGTTCCAACTGAGCCTTGTATCTGTTTAACACATCATCACTGAAACCGTTTTCCTTTTTTGATTTACCATCATCAACAAGTTTTTTTTTTGTATCTTTGACTACAGAGTTGAATCTTATAGCATGAAATTGAGCAACACAACGATTTATTCCAACACATCTCTGCAACCTTGGCAACATGTTGACTGGATCGACCCTGTTGGCTTAAACTTTTGCACCTTGGAATAAGAAATCTTTTGCTACTTAAGTCAAAGAAATCTTTTCGCTACTCAAGTCAAAGAAACCTACATTCCCCATCGCTTTTCATGCGCGCACAGTTTTTTTTTTTCTCCTGTCCTTATTTGCTGGTAATAGAGTTGTTGATGCTCCTTCTTTATGGTTGTTGATAATAATATCAATAAACATAAATTTATACACACAAGAGGTAAACAATGCTTAATTACAAGCTGACGTTTAGAGATGACATTTCGAAAAAGTCTCTACATGGCCATATATATTACCTTGATATATCTGTCCAAACTAATCAAGAATACATCAACAAGTATTCAACAAGGTCAGGGTCGTCATATAACGTTGTTCTGTAATTAATGATTAGTCTATACACGGGTTTGATTCCTTAATCGCAGCAGCGTTGCAAAACTTGCAAACGGTTTTTTTTTTTTTATTTTTTTAATTTTTTTAATTTTTATTTCTTTTTTTTTCGCAATCAAAGTAAAAGGAGCAGGACTGGAAGAGCAAAGCGAGTCTAGTCAAAGAGACCAAAGAGTAGTTGAAGGGACCAGAGAGTAGAGTCTCTATTCATCTCTATTCATATCTATTCATCTCTGTTCATCTTTATTCATCTCTATTCACCTCCATTCATCTCTATTCACCTCCATTCATCTCTATTCATCTTTATTCCTTTTTGTCCTTGATAATCTTTGGCTTTGAAGATTCAAGGTCTACAATCTTTTCTTGTTTTGGTCTATGCTCATCAGCGGTTGAACCTGTGCTATGCTCTAAATTTTGAGGAATTTCATCAATCTCCAACACATTTGATTTAAACGATTGTCCCTCACTTTCCAAATAATCTTTTAAATTGAACTTGTCATCTCTAATAAATCCGAGATTATCAGCAATTAAATGCCTATTGTGGCACGAGGGACACTCAATTAATACCGTACCATGCTCGTATGCTTGCTTAGACATGGAGTGTTTAGACCTGTCATTACAAACATTACATGTGAATTCAATTAACAATTTCTCCGAGTCATTTGGTTTTGAAGAATTGCTCTGAAATCTCATCGCATTTAGATTACTTGTCAAACCACTTCTCAAAGACACACCATCTCTCAAACTCGTATAATTTGCACGAGAAATTAAACCGGAAACGAGTCTTGGCAAATAAGCAAAAAAGAGTGGGGACTTACTACTAGCTCTAATTGAACGGGAAAGCATTGCTAAACCAAAAGGATGCAATCAAACCCGTGTGTATAAAAAGAAATGATGGGGGAAAGAAAAAGAACCATTTCCGTTTTTTTTTTATTGTATACAATTTTTTTTTTTAATTTATTTTTCATCTCTGACAATGGAAATTATTCAAGTTTTGGGCATATCTCTATGTATCACTCAAGGGTTCCAAAACCGATACGACGGTTGCTAGAACTTTTCAAAGTCTTGTCTAATCAGCGACATTCTTCTTATGATAGCCGTATAAAGGCCCATTTTGAAAAAACTTCTTATTTTGGTCTTCGGCACAAAATATGGACTATACTTACATTAAACATGAAAAGAGGTCCAAGTAGACGATCTGATAGAGGTAAAGAGAATTATTTGTTCAAGGACCCTATTAGGTTTGGACCGCTAGAACTATCGAGCACCAAATCCTTGTTTAAAAACCCCAAAGCCATATCTGGTCATGAGGGCTTGTTACCGAGTTGTCCCAAGAACAATACGATGGATAGTATTTTTTATAGAAATATCAAGTCCACTGTGGAGTCGTACTTTAATCCGCGAGCTGCACTTGCACTACATCAGGTTGAAAGGCAAACTTTTAAATTTTACTTGCAAAGGCTACATGGCAGAGCTCCAATCATGCTTTTTTTAACGCAAAAGAATCGATTGTTTTCGCCCGAAAGTTTGGACCACTGGAACCAGGCGGTGATTGATATGGAGTCAAGAGTTAAAGAGATTAACCTGAAACTAGCATCTGATAAAGAGGCAGTTCAACTAGCATCTGATAAAGAGGCAGTTCAACTAGCATCTGATAAAAAGGCAGTTCAACTAGCATCTGATAAAAAGGCAGTTCAACTAGCATCTCATAAAAAGGCTGTTGAATTTTACAAAGTTACTCGTACAGACTTGCTTTTCTTGGCAATAAAGGGCTACAATCAGCTTACATACCAAAATCTGCCGACTTCAAAAAGTTTCAACAATATATTAGAGAATGCTAGATGGTCTGCTATAAATGCCGTTGATGACAAGCTTGTAAAACATCTTTGGAACAATATACCCATTCGCATTGTGAATAACCAAAATGCCCAGGAGATTCCGCACAGTGATGAAACTATTTGCAAAACTGTTGATGCTACTATAAAAGCCATAAAAAAATCTGATTTGAGTCTGAATCCACGCGATAACGATGATTTACTCAAGAGTTTCAATTACGATCTCGAATATACAAGTTTGTACCTCTTGAATGTTTTAGACATGAATATGGACCTTGCTGATCTCAGTGCTTGTTTGCGCCAGGGCTCATCGTTTGAGGCAGTTGGTGCTAGATTTTCATTGACAAACAAGTCATTGCGAAACTCTTTACAAAGTGTAATAAATTCAACCAACTCAAACAATGCTGCTACAACTTACGAAGATATTTTAGAATTAGCAAAAGTTGACAAGAACAATGAGAATAAAATTGGTAAGATTTTGGAAGAATTGGTTGCGAGGGGAGTAACTACGGCAGGTTTTAGTCCACTACGAGATGCTCTTTATCTAACGAAAGAATAAATACGCACATACACCAAATATATATACATCAAATACATATACACACAGAAACACGGACACAGACACACACACACACTCTCTCTCTCTTTCTCTTCTCCATCTCTCTCTTTCCCTTCTCTATCTCTCTCTTTCTCTTTCAATTAGTGACGTTTTGGTCAAAGCCGCATCTGATAAGCTACGAGAAAAAGAAAAAAAGGTGGATAGATTAGTAGATTGAGATATATACGTTACTAAGAGCTACTTGTTCAAAGGTAAGTAAGACTTTGTGATTATACTAACTCATGCACGGACGTTTAGAAGGAAAGTCAACAATGATAACTCAATCTAGGCTAGTATACTTGGTACGACCGGTGTTGATAATACTGCTTGTAGCAGTTACTTACTTATTATTGTTCAAATCAAGAGTGCCCACTAGCGATAAGCTGTCAAATCCTGTTGACAATATTAAATTTCATGTACAGCAAGCAAAGCCCCTCAAGGATTTGGTCTCTTTGGAAAAGCATTCAAGTGCAAAAAACGGGAAGCTGCTGCTGCTTCTGCTGCTTCTGCTGCTGCTGCTGTTAGATGGTGATGATGTTGATAGTAAGTTTCTCAAACTTATGAACTTGAATACCAAATCGTGTCCAAACTACGTCACTTACTCACAATCAAGGCATCCGCCGTTTTCAAGTGGTCCTCGTAAGTTTCCATACATGAGACCAGCTCCCAAATGTCGAACATTTGTGTCCCTGGCGGTGGAAAATATAATCACCGATTTGAAGATGAAAATTGAAGATGCCGATTTGGCAAGGCTCATGGAGAATTGTTTACCCAATACCTTGGACACAACGATACTTTGGCATACTACTGAGCCAATGGGACAAAGCAACAACAACAACAACAACAATCCTGATTCAGATAAGGACACTTTACCTCAGACCTTTGTAGTTACAGGTGACATACATGCTGAATGGCTCAGAGACGCGGCAAGACAGTTGTCAGTTTACCAACCATTTATCAAATACGATGCATCCTTGCGTCAATTAATTTTAGGGGCCATAAACACTCAAGCTTTTTACGTTAACAACTCGCCATATTGTAACGCATTTCATCCGCCACCAGGGTCGAATGTGAAACGTGGTATGACGGCATTTGACAATGTGCTACCTCGGCCAGACTGGAGACAGGTATTTGAGTGCAAGTATGAAATTGATTCTTTAGCTTCTTTTCTCACACTAACAAATGAATACTATGAAAATTCTGATGGAGATACATCATTTATAAATGAGCAATGGCTACAAGCGTACGAGAAACTTTTGATAGTTTTGGAAAGAGAAAGCAACCCCACTTTTGATGAAGAAACTGGTCGAGCATTACCATTTTACTACTCTTTCCAAAGAAACACAAATATTGGTTCTGAAACCTTGCTGTTGGGTGGAGCAGGAAACCCAGTGAATTATGGTACTGGTCTAATTCGCAGTGCATTTAGACCGAGTGATGACGCAACTATTTTCCAATTCTTTATACCGGGGAATATGCACATGTTGGCCGAATTAGAAAGAACCCTAGCCAATATTTTAGAGGAAAAAGAGTCTTTTAAAGAGAGGACAGGTGCTGTTCTTCAAAACATGAAGCAAAAAACAATCCATTTCATTGAAGCAATAAAAAAGGGGATTGAAAACTTTGGGATTGTTAATCATCCAATTTATGGAAAAGTGTATGCGTACGAAGTTGACGGGTATGCAAGTGCAACGTTTATGGATGACGCAAATATACCTTCATTATTATCAATTCCAGAATTGGGGTATAAACCAGTTGATGATGAAGTGTATCAAAACACAAGAAAGATGATTTTTGAAAAAAGGGCCAACCCGTATTATTTGAAAGGTAAGTACTTTGAAGGAATTGGCGGTCCTCACATTGGCATCAGAAGTGCATGGCCAATGTCTCTTCTTGTTAAGATTAGAACCACTGATGATGACGAGGAGATTCTAGCCAGCCTCAAGATGGTGATGGATAATACGGCAAACTTGGGGCTCATGCATGAGAGTGTCGATGTTGACTCAATGGATGGAACTGACTATACACGGCCATGGTTTGCTTGGTGTAATTCAGAATTTGGTAAGACTATATTACATTTGGCTCAAAAGAAGCCACACTTGATATTCAAGGAAGAATGGAAACACACGCCATTTAGTATTAAGGATGCTTTGAGTAAAGAGTCTTTGTAAAAAAAAAGGGGGGATTCGTGACACTATCGAGCAGATTGACTAGTGACACTATCGAGCAGATTGGCTAGTGACACTATCGAGCAGATTGACAAGTGACACTATCTCGCTCTGCTCGATAGTGGAGCAGATTAACTAGTGACACTATCTCGCTCTGCTCGATAGTGGGCCAAAGGCAGTGGAAGTGGAAAGAAGGGGGAGGGCGCTGGCACTGCCTTTTTTTTATCTTTTTCCAAGAGGAAAAGGGCTTCAAGTCTCAGTATACATTACATATATACATATATAAGTGTTGAATATATGAACAAAGAGCAAAAGACCAGCAACACTGGCTGAAATATATGTCAAAATAATGGCTGCGAATGAAAAGCAAAAAAAAAAGCCTACTTTGGAGAAATGGAAGAGAAGAGAAGGAAGAAGTAGTGAAAAAAAAAAGATTAGTAAAGTTCTTTTCTTTCTATTTGGGGGTCATCTTCAAAGGGAAAGAGCAAGTTTTATTAAGACGTTTCAATATGTCTTGTGAGGATTCTACGGCGGAAAAGGGAGGCAATAGCCCTGTTGTGCTATGTATTGGTATGGCGGGATCTGGGAAAACTACGTTTATGCAAAGGTTGAACTCTCATCTACATAGCAAGAAGAAGGCACCGTATGTAATTAATCTTGATCCTGCCGTGATCAAAATACCCTTTGGAGCTAATATTGATATTAGGGATTCTATCAAGTATAAGAAAGTAATGGAGGAGTACAATTTGGGTCCCAATGGTGCAATTGTAACCTCATTAAATTTATTTTCCACCAAGATTGACCAAGTGATCAAGTTGGTTGAAAAGAAACAAGGGAAAATATCTAATGTGATTATAGACACTCCAGGCCAAATCGAATGCTTCATTTGGAGTGCGAGTGGTCTGATTATTACCGAAGCTTTTGCATCCACATTCCCAACTGTAATTGCATATATTGTTGATACGCCAAGAAACACAAACCCCACCACCTTTATGTCTAATATGTTGTATGCATGCTCGATATTGTACAAGACCAAATTACCCATGATTGTTGTCTTCAATAAGACGGATGTGCAAAGTTGTGACTTTGCCAAAGAGTGGATGACCGACTTTGAAAGCTTTCAAACGGCGGTCCAGAAAGATCAGGATGAAAATGGGGAGCAGGGTAGCGGTTATATGAGTAGTTTAATATATTCCATGTCTTTGATGTTGGAAGAGTTTTATCACACATTAGATGTTGTTGGCGTGAGTTCGTATACAGGACAAGGATTTGACGAATTTTTGGAGGCAGTGGACAATAAAGTAGATGAATATAATGAATATTATAAGGCGGAGCAGGAGAGGCTTTTGAAGAAGAAAGAAGAAGATAAGAAAAAGAAACAGGCCAAATCTTTAAGTAAATTAATGAAAGATTTGCATATGGAGGAGAAAAAGAAAGACCCAAAGGGTCAAGATAGTGAGGTACTTTCAGACTATGACGATGAAGAAGATGATGAAGAAGATGAAGATGGAGATGATCAGTTACAGGGTCAAGTGTACCCTGATGAAGAAGAAGAAGCACTAGGTGGTCCGCAAAGAGAATACACTTTTGCTGAAGATCGTCAATCTGAATTGGATGATGTTTCAGACGCGGATATTAAAGCTCGGTATAGGGATGCATTTGAGGCTAGAGGGAAAACCGCATCTTCAAAGACTGCAGAGAACATTGCAAATTATATAAGGAGGTCGCAGTAGAATTGAATCATTTATTCCACCCCTGTTTTCTATGTCATTCCACCTCTATTTTCTATTTGATTCCACCCCTATTTTCTATTTCATTCACGCATTTGCTTTTACAAATCTATTAAATATGTCGTCAAATACTGACTCGTGAGTCAAGATTTGAATATTTTCGGCCTCTGCTCTAAACATTTTTTCTGCTTTTGGGCCACCTGGACCACCCAAACTTGGCATCTGCATTTGCTGTTGTGATTGTTGAGCAATTAATTCCTCTGCCTCTTTCTTACCCATGATCAATGAGTATACGGGTCTTAAACCAAAAAGATTAACGAAATACCAGGAAATCGACGACACGTACCTGACATTCAAATTCGGAGTTCTGACTCCGCTTTGTAGCATGCTTTTAAACCCATCAGGAAGTGGGAATGGCAATTTCATAATGACAAATCCAGCAAAAAAATAGTTCACCCATCCCATGATCAAGGTTTGCGGAATGTAATTAAGTAAATTGCCCTTTGCCATTTGCATGAGGGCATCATTTTGAGATGGATCCAAAGGGTTTATTTGTTCATCCTTTTTATCCGGATCGGCAAGAAATTTGTCGGAATTCAACGTTTCAACAAGGTAATCCCTCATTGATTTAAAATCTTCTCGTATCAATACATGCTGGTTTTCTCTAAAACATCGAGCTTTATAAAGAAACTGTCTAGAATAATGGAAAGTTAGCATTATATCCTCATTCGGGAACACGGGTTCTTGTTTCTACTTACGATTCTCTAACCTTCTTGAAGCTTTCCAATTTTGGTACAGGTTGCATCAAAAATGTGACATTGGACCTAAGCAATCCAACTACAACCATTGCAATAGTAATGGGTAACAAGACCCAATACTTTAACTGTGGGTCTAATAGTAAATCAGGTACAGGTACACTCATTACTGAATCCTTGTTACAAAGAAGTATATCTATCAATAATGGGGGTTTTTTTCTCTTCTTCTTCCTGGGAGATTATTTTTCAATCTTGTTGAGAGAGGAGAGATGATATGATAGAGTAAACAAGATGATGAAAACATGGCAATTTACTTTGTTGTATTTGTGAATAATTATATTATTACAGCTCTATGAATATACTGCCATCTACAATTCTATGAATATACTGCCATCTACGATTCTATCAATATACTACCATCCACACCCTTTTCTACTCTTTTTCACCCTTTCTACTCTTTTTCACCCTTTCACCCTTTCTACTCTTTTTCACCAGCTCAAGCAACACTCAGTAGCTTGTTACAACACTATCTCGCTCTGCTCGATAGTGTTACCATCCAAAACTCTCAGTGTGAAGATAGATTTCTTCGACATTTGTGTTTTTCAAGTCATTATTGAAAATCAACTCTTGCAATTGGGAAACTGTAGAGCTCACTTGCCTCTTCATGGAGATACTACCAGAAGACACAATCAAATTTCTTCTTGCAAAGCTCGATGTTAGGCTTTTCAAAACCTCCAGAACATTTGGTTTTTCAAATGTGACATTACAAGCTACTATATCACTTGATTTCGACTCGATGGATTTTTCCGAATCGTCATTATCTTCAATCATATTTGTACGGTGACAAACTAAAATCTCCATTTGGAGCTTGGACCCAAGAATTGCTTGACATTGGTTCAACTCCTCGCGTATCCAGTTAGTATCCTCTATTTTCCTCACTATCCAAATGAAATTGATGCATTTCAAGTTTACCAGCTTTCCCAGTTTTTCTTGCTGACTCATGTATATCAAGAATGGAAGTGTCGCTGAAACACCACTTCCTGAAGCAATCAACACAATCTTGTCAAATTTTGTAGGATCTCTAAATGTGCCACCATATGGTCCATCAATGTAGACTTTTTTATTGATTTCAATTTGCCGGTTCAATTCAAGGTATTGCACTTTTGTTAACCCCTTTTGTGGAATAACAATGAACTTCATCAGCAGCCCTCCATCTGAGTCACAAGTTGACGCTATTGAAAATGGATGAGAATCGAGTATTCTCCAACCTTGAAACCTGAGGAAGCAATGCTGTCCCGGTGACCACTTATAATCAGCGACATTTTCAATTTTGATTTGATATACGCCATTTCCTAATTTTTCCAAGTGCGCTTTTCTCGAGCGAAGGAACATTGCATTTGGCTTAAAACATGTCTTTGTTAAGAGCCGGTATATTATTTGAGTTGCCCAGAATGCCAAAGCACCCCACATGTAATTTTGTGCTCCCATATTTTGGTTAATGTGCCAAATAAGCACACCAAAGAAAGCGACTCCCATCATCCAGTGAAGATGGACAAACACCTCATAGAAATGTTTCCTTACCCATGCTTTTGATAAAACACAAAGCAATCCCAAGAGAATTATGCATGGTATACCACTAATATAGTAGATACTTGTTGTGAAATAATGATGCAACAAAGTTGCTCCTCCTTCCTGCAACGATTGGTATAAAAACGGAATCGTGTGGACTATTGCCAAGACAAATGATGCGCACCCGACATATTGGTGGTATAGATTCAATTTTTCGTAGCTTGTTCCTGTTAGCAAGGTGATGGCATTTGATTTGCCTGCTAGCACATAAATAAAGGGAAACAATGCCGTAGACATGACACCAGCTCTAACTGCCAAGGGGGGAGATCCAAACTCGCTACAGGGGCGGTACCAGAAATGGGGGACAAAACAATAGCACAACAAATATAACGATGAAACCGACATGAACAAAGTAGCACCAACGGAATTTGGTAATGAAAGAACTTGAGTAGAAACCCAAGGAGTTTGTTTATAGCCAATATATCTTCCATAGGCCATAGCAACGTCTATAACCGAACATATTGGGTTCGTAGTTGATTTTGGTCCCATGGATTTGTAAGTGAGATCACGTATTCTATAGTACAAATGTTTGAATAAACAGCACAGGATAACAACAATACCAAAATAAACGGTATACTTGGCATACTCTGCTTGAGCTGCCCAAGGAATTTGCATTTGCAGCAATTGGCCATAGTGGATATATAACAGATTCGATACATCTGCTATACAATCGAGGCCCTCATATTGTACATTTCTCTTCATCAGAAAAGCTAGAAACGCAATCAGCTATTATTAACGAGCTATAACCTATTACTTGAAATAGCAAAACTTGAAAAGAAAGGCCTGTTAGTAAGAAGCTATCTATTATATAGCTGTATTACAATGAGCTGTATTACTATGAGCTGTAATACTGTAACACTTTATATAGCTGTATCTATAAGCTGTACCATTTCATAAGTTGGACCACTATAATAAGCCGATTCATTTTTGTCCTATATTTCTTCAATCTAGATTATACCAGTTACTAATCCTCCTTTTATTTAATCCTCCTTTTATTTTCATTTCACCTTGTTTGTCAATAGAAAATTTGCTCATTCAAAGAGTGAGAATCATTGTTTGTATTAGGAAATTACTAAATTGCTCTTATAGTTGGAAACGCAGAAGAAAAAATTAGAAACCGAGAGATGGATCTGTTATGTAAGATTTGATTAGACCCTATCGACCAGGAACAATGAAAAGGAACACTATCGAGCAGAGCGAGATAGTGTTGTAACAAGCTACTGAGTGTTGCTCCAATATCTCGCTCTGCTCTATAGTGGTGCACACTAGCACCGACACGCTAGAGGGGAGATGAGGGGAGGGAAAAAGCTAAAGCCACAAAAGAGAGAAAGAGCTAGAGCAAAAAAGAGAGGGGGGAAGTTACATATGCATATTAATCAAAGGTACATCTCTCTAATAGTTGTCTAGACATCTCAAACCTCTCTATAATACTTGTCTATAATGGTTGTCTCTAATACTTGTCTCTTATAGTTGTCTCTAATACTTGTCTCTTATAGTTGTCTCTAATACTTGTCTCTTATAGTTGTCTCTAATACTTGTCTCTTATAGTTGTCTGTTCGATAGTGTCGTTGGCAGCTACAAAGTATTGCTCCACTATCTTGCACTGCTCGATAGTGTCGCACTGCTCGATAGTCGAGCAATATTTTTCCGTCTATAATAATTTGCTCATTAACAATCATCGCGCCAACTTGAATAAAAATTACATTATGAATCAAATCTATTGGCCAAAGCTAATTGACTAAACTACCCAACTGGTTCTCTAGCTAAAGCTAATTGAATAAACAATCCAACTGGTTCTTTAGCTAAAGCTAATTGACTAAACAATCCAACTGATTCTTTAGTTAAAGCTAGTTGACTAAACTATTCAACTTTGGCCAAGGCTGGTAAATGAGGTTAATTCAACTAGTCCTTTAGCCAAGGCTACTAACCAAGGCTAGCTATCTATTATTTATTATCTATTACTCTATTAAATCTTTCTACTCTGGTTAACAAACAGGGTCGGTTAGGCCCACGCTCCAATTATAAGAACCCAAGACTAAAACCATTATAGCAAAAGCTACCATTATTGAACTAGTTCCATATACATAACCATAAATCGTCTTTAAACCAAATAATTCAGCAACAAAAGTGCTCACTGTAGTCAATGCACCGCAGAATCCGTCGTCTAACCCTGTCAATACATGACATCCCATTATATGTGCCATAATTCTACCTTGCTCGCCTCCGCCTCCGTTTCCCTCTTCCTTATAGTGCAGCTTACCCCTTGCGATTAACGTGAATATCGCTAGTAGCAAAGTCCCTAGTAAGTTAGCCGTAAAAGTGCCCATTGGGAAATTCATTACTCTCGAATTCAACCATTTCGATAAGTAGAATCGTAAAATGGCTCCAAATGGCGCAAAGAGCATGGAAAAGGTCCAATTTCTCCATGAACCTTGCGATTTCACTCCTAATAGCACACATGTTATGATCACGAGACAAATCGCAGCCGCCATCGAGAATTTCTCTAGTGCTTTGTAACTGCCTAAAGTCAACTTTGGTGTAAACTTATCAATCGCCATCAGTAATTGTTTTCCCATATGGAACCCCATTATCGATAATCCAAACTCGGCTAATATCACCGCTAAGAAATTCATGATTCCATACGCGGCATTTGGCGGATGATGGGTGATTCCAATCTCCGTATTGGAAGCTTTATTGAATGCTTCCAATATCACAGATGAAAAGGAAGACACCGTGCCGCAGAATCCCGTGGTGAGACCCGTGTACACGGGGATAGATGCCTTGCTTGTATAAACCTCATTATCTAGTAAAATTATCCACAATTGGTCACTCTCAATAGCTAGCCCCATCACTAAACATGCGGTAAAGTTGGCCCAAATCACCCCAGACAAATAAGATCCGTCATACTGAGTTAATTGCATTAAACCTTTCCGCGTTAAAACACCCCATATAGAACCATGCACTATATTCAAAAGTACAACACTATACTTGTGGTACTGTTTAATTATGATTTTCTGGTTCTTAATAAATTCTTCCCCACTGAAACCTTCTGCAAGACCAGCTCCTATAGTTTCAGCTTGTACACTAGCATGCTCACTCGCAATAGTCCTCCTACGCTGTAGCCGTTCTTCTTCAATACTCAGTCTTGTAGAACTCATAAACTTAACTTAATAGCCCCTAACCTTGCTATAAACCATAAAGAATAGTAATCTAAATAAGAGTTCTTGGAAAATTAAAAACAAAGAAAACCCGAGCCGCACACGGAGAGGCACACAAATACACAAGCCTGCCCCAAACAGAAACCAAAAGAAAACACACTACAAGACACCCCCCCCCC